AGAACTTCAGTGATTGTGATAAGTTGAAACAATACAGGTCCACTGCCAAATTGTCTTCTGCTATCTCAGCCCCCTAAATTTACTTATTGCCCACCTCTGTGTTTGTCCTAGCATCTTTTGGATCTGTACAACCAGCCCTTTAACTTCCCCCAACCCAAAAGCTAAGGTCATCACATAGCATATGAGGCTACAGCAAAGATTTCTCCCTCTGACCTGCCTACGTGGGCTTGCCACCAGTGCATTTACCTTGCTTACTTATAATCCTCTTTGTTTTGTTACAATAAAAACTTTGTCAAACTCTTGCCATGTTGGCACACAGAATTTAGGGCAATCTGAATCTCCCTTTCAAGGTGTGGTCACGTGCGCACTTAGCTCCAGGACCTTCTTTCTTTTACAGTAAGAGCTATGCTTAGACAGGAAGAAGGAGATGATGTCATTTGCAGGAAAACAGATGGAAATGGAAATGAATAAGACTTACTGCTTTTTTTCTCTCATATGAAGAATCTAGATGTGTTTGAAGTATGTGTACATAGCAGGGATGTAGTATGCATAAGTCTCATATTATGTACCAAGTGAAAGAACTCAAATACCAATGTTATTTACATTACAATCTAGGAAAGGCAAAACTATAGTAGTATAAAAGCAGACAACAGTTGATCAGGTACAGAGTGTGACTTTCTCCACAAGCTGTTCTGGTGGCTTTAGACTAGCTAATTGTAGCAATGACAAGTTTCCTTTCTGTTGTTGCTCACACTACCAAGCCAATCCATGCTGGCAAAAAGACAAGCTGATGTCATGTGACTACCACTAGAATTTAGAAAACCCACAAGGGTTTAAAATGTGAGGTATGATTAACTTCTAGCAATGAGAGTTTTAGCTTTTTGTCTTGTTTTTGCTGTCCTGAAACTTGCTTTGTAGACCAGGCTGGCCTAAAACTCATGTAGATGTGCCTGCCTCTGCATCCTGAATGCTGAGATTAAAGGAGTGAGCCATCACACAAGGCTCTAAGCAGTCTTGCCGTGAAACTTCTTAAAAGCAATAGCATTGTTCCTCAGGTTAAGTTATAGAATAAGAATTTCAAAGCTAGTTAGGTGCAAGTTTCAGGGCACTTGTGTGTGTGCGGCACTGAACAAGTAAGTCATTTCACCTCTGCCCTTCATCTGTTACAAGGATATGATTGTTAGGAGTAGTTTTTCCTCTGGTCTGGTCCCACCGCCACGCCAGCCCCAATTAACATACACAGACTCTGTATTTGATATTATGCTGTTGGCCAGTTACTGGTTTCTTAACGGCCAGCTCTGTCTTAAATACTAACCCATTTCTATTAATCTAAGTATTTCCACATTCTGCTCTCTCCAGTCTCTACATGCTGACCCCTCCTTCCTACTTCCTCTCTCCTACTTTCTCCTAGTCCCTCATATCTTCCTTTCCTATTGGCCAACAGTGCTTTATTCATTAACCAATAAGAGAAACATATTTACAGAATGACATCTCCCATCATATGATAGCATCTGGGGTCTTTGTCCAGAATAAGTTCCTATCTTACTACCTGCCTTTTGACTAAAGGCGTTAAAGGTAACCTGACTAAGTCAATCATTTTATAATGTTCACAGTGGTTGTCAGTCCAGAAATGGAGGTCACCTTTCTTGTTGAAGACATTCTCTCAAGATCTTCAGTTGGGATAGGAGTCCTCCCTGGCCCTCATGCCTGCATTCTGCATAAGCCCTCATGCTTTGTTCCTTCCTTGACCTCATCTCTCACTGATTCTTCCTCTGCCCCTTGGTATTTCTCAACTCCAGGCATGCTTCTGCTTATGGGGACTTGCTTTCTCTCTTGAATGCTTCTCTATACTACACGGTTAACTTCTTCATCTCTGCTCAAATGTCACCGTTCCCAAAGACCTGTCCGGATTATCCTACCCAACATAGCAACTCTATCTTTCTCTACTCCTGATCTCTTAATTTGAGCTATAATTTTGTTGTTGTTGCTGTTTTTCAAGACAGGGTTTCTCTGTGTAGCTTTGGAGCTTGCCCTGAAACTCACTTTGTAGACCAGGCTGGACTCAAACTCACAGAGACCTGCCTGCCTCTGCCTCCCAAGTGCTGGGATTAAAGGGATTTTGTCTGTATAGTTTGTTGGTGTGTCCTAGTTGTCCAGAGCAATACTAAGCGAGTTCTAAGTACCCAGTAAACACTCATATTTGATGGATGAAATGTGTTAATAACCACATAAACTTAACTCTAGAATAACCAGTGAAGGAAACTCTTATGAAAATTAAAAGAGTATACATTAGGGCAAAATGTGTGTGCAGGTGTACATGTCCTTGTGCACATGGAATGGCCAGAGGACCACATGTAGAATTCTGTTCTCTCTCTCTCTCTCTCTCTCTCTCTCTCTCTTTCTGCCTTATTTTTTTTTTAGACTAAGTCTCACTGTGTATCTCTGGCTAGCCTAGCCTGGTACTTGCTGTGTAGACTAGGTCGGACTTGACCTCACAGAAATCCCTGTGCCTCTGCCTCCTTTGTGCCAAAATTAATGATGTGCACCACTACTCCTAGAAGACATGGTCTCTTTCTGAACTTGAAGGAGACTGGCAGACAGCAAGCTCCAACAATCCTCTATCTCCAACTCCCTGCTCTTCTCCCAACACTATAATTACACGTGTGCCAAGGCCCATCCATGAAGGTCAGCAAGCATTCTTATCCACTGACCCATATCCTCAGCTTTATGTGGTCACTATGATGACCAGGTCATCCTGAACTCAAGGTCTTCCTGCCTCTGCCTCAAGTGCTAGGATGCAAGAAAAAAAAATTTTTTTTTTAAAGAATTTGGAGCCAAATGGCAGTGGCACATGCCTTTAATCCCAGCACTAGATAGGCAGAGGCAATTAATCTCTGAGTTTGAAGCCAACCTGGTCAGCAGAGCATGGTCCAGGACAGCCAGGGCTACCCAGAGAAATCATGTCTCCAGAAAAAGAAAGAAAGAAAGAATGAATGAATTTGTGTTTAGCTTTGAAATTTGCATAGATGGAAAAAATATCTTCTAGAAGCAATGTTTAGTGAAGGCTGAAGAGGAAGTAAAACAGTGAATCGGAGTGGGGAGATTTAAAAATCACAAGCCTGATTCAGTCAGGACCAAATTTCACAATTTCATGGAATGGGAAGGACCTTAAAACGGTTGATGCTATTGCCTAACCATTGCAAGATTGACTTTAGAAGAGGAAGCTTGGGCAGGGCTTCCTCTCAGTGTGGGCAGGACTCCTGTCTGGTAGCTACTGCTCCCCAGGCTGTGGGATGACTAAGTGGTAACTAGAACTAGAGTTGACCAAGTGACACACTGGAAAGAGTCAGTTTTTTGAGATGAAATCCTGTGCCCACAGGCTCCCAATGTTTTTACCAGCATGTAACCTTGAGCTAATAACTAATAATGAGAGAATAGGAGGAAATAATGCATTTTTTTAAAAAAAGACGTGTGTGTTAAATTAATATTAAAAGTGGAAAAAATTGTATGTGTGTGTGTGTGCTCTTGTGCCATGACATACATATGGAAGTCAGAAGACAATTTCCCAGAGTCAGCTCTCTTCTTCCACCTTTCTGTAGGATCTTAGACCCAAACTCAGATTGTGACACTTGCACAGCAAGTGCCTCTAGCTATTAAGCCATCTTGCTAGGTCAAGCTGAACACATAAATCTAATAGAGTAAACTTAAAACCCAATCTGTATCACCTTCTATTGCTAATTGCTATGAGAAAATCCTTTCCCACACATCTTAGAAGCACAAATCAAAGCTGGGTGTTGGTGGCACATGCCCTTAATCCCAGCACTCAGGAGGCAGAGGCAGGCTGATCTCTGAGTTCTAGGACAGATTAACCCTGTTAATCTGGTGGCGTGCGCACCAGCCATCATGGGCATAAAATACATCTCTTTTACCCTCTTGTTCCAATCACGCAAGTCTTGACAACTGTGGGTAGTTTTCACCAAGTACTCTGTTGACAGGATGGAGGATGCTTTTCTGGGCCAACAAGTTACCAAGAGCATGGACATTAGAAGCTTGCGGTCTGTTATTTCCACTCTCCTCCCCATCTTTGTGCTTCACTTTTCAAATGTAACAAATTTGTTAAATGTGTCAGTATTTGTGAAACCTTTAGAACAAGTGCCCTGAACCAAGAGCTAAGAATACTTCAGTTTATCACATTTCTTGTTTTCTTTGTTTCGGTGCTGGGGATTGCCCTCTGGGCCTCAAGCACCTGCAGCTGTTGAACTCACCACTAACCTTCTAATTCGCACTGCTTGGTGTTAAAGTAACCTAGCTGTAGATGTATGTGTCTTGCTTTCTGAAAAGGTGTTGACTTTTTTATTAGCAGTGGTCATTGTACTAGTAATGTGTGGAACAGGGTTTATGGGGAAGTTTGGGTCTTTCGCCAAAATGACTTAAAGCAAAAGAAAATGCCTGTCATTTGGGCACTAACCAGTAATTAGTGAAAATCCTGTCTATTTGGAAATAAATTTGGCATCTTAGAGCGATCCACTGCCAGCTGTGAATTTGTGAAACGCAAAAGGACAGACTGGCAACTAGCTGGCAATCATTGCAGGATCTTCCAGTTAGGCCAGTCCTTTTGTCCCTTGTTTTCTGCACTGCGATGGTACTAGCAGCTTCATTGCCTTCTAGGTACTCTTTACAAGCTTACAGCTAGGAGCATTTGAAACCCGGCAAAAAGTATTCGTTCAGAGGAAGGTACCTGCAGTCCACCAGAAGACCCTTTAATCGGGATTGTGGTGGAAGCTTCATTAGCCCAGGTACCCTCTCACCCCGGCCTGGTTCTTAACAGCCTTTACTCTTCTTAACCACAGCCCTAAGTTTTGCTTCTCTAATAATCCCGCCCTTTCGGAGAAACACAGGGGCGGAGTTGAGGGCGAACGCATATCATTAAGCTTGCGCAATGGGTCGGGCGGTAGCGCCCCAGGAAGGCCGAACTCCCAGGGCTGATGTCCGGCGCGCCTGCGCAGTAGGCCCGCATGGCGCGGCTGAATGGACTTGCCTCCAGGGCTGTGGCGTCAGTGCGACTGCGCGCGAACCGGGTGCCGCGCTACTTAAGTTCGCTGCACACAGTGTCAGAGGTAGCCATGAGGAGGGGAGATCCCGAGCAGCCCGCTAAGCGGCCTCGCTGCGATAGCAGCCCAAGAACGCCACAGAGAACCCCTCCTGCAGCGTCAGTTGCGTCTCCCGGCTCCGACCTCCACACCGACCTCCGGACCTGGGAAGTGGAGGACGTGTGCTCCTACTTAGAGGGATGCGGCTTCAAAGAGAAGAAAGTGCTGGACAGCTTCAAAGGTTACGGGGCTGAGGGACTGGGGATTGCGACCGAGGGGCTGAGCGGTGGGGACCCACCCGAGAGGCATCCGAAGGGGGAGGCTCACGGAGCGGAGGCCCCTGGGGGAAGCGGCTTGCGACGGGAACCCAGACCTGAGGCGGGAGGCGCCCCGACGCGCGCGGTCCAGGCGGGCTACCCGAGGTGGGCGCGGGCGAAGTGTGAGCCCATAGGAAGGTGCTGGCCCTGGGAGGTTTGCATCTTCTTCTGGTGGATGGGTATCTTCGGGAAATTGTCACTTCTTCTGTCAAGAGAGATCCCCGCCCTTCTTAGATCCCACCACCACCCAGCAGTGGCTTGCGGTCTTTCAGGCTTACCAAGCTCGGGACAACCTTCTGTGCTAACCGCAGCTCCCAAAACACTTGACCCCAAGAGAGATTTTGGCGCTTTTAAGTTTCGCTTCTTAAGTCGTTCCCGGAATTTGGGGTTTTCCTAAAAAGGGAGGGAAATTGGTTAATCTCCAGAGTCTCACTGACCACCATAGCTTCCCAGCAGGGCTCAGTATGTGCTGACTGTATTTGCAGAGTGCTCCTGATCAATTTCTCTTCCAAAATAAGAACAACTTACTCAGTTGGCCGCTGAAACCCCAGCATTCCACAATTTGGGCACGCAGAGGGGAGGGGTAGAGGCTGAGAAATTTAAGTGATTCTTCTGACTCTTGCTCATGCATCAGTCAAACATTTCTAATCTACTCAATTTGTTTGTGGTAGCGGTTAAGCCTAACCCCTTGCTAAATCCCGAGGTGTTCCCTGGGAACGAGGTTCTTAGGTGGTTGTGATTTGCAAATTCAGTAAACTTGACTTCTTGTGGGGCGGAGCCCTGTATGCTTAATTGAAGAAAGGGGTGAGAAGTTTAAAGTTCAGGACTTGAAGATAGTTCACATATAGGAACTCGGGTTTCTCTTTCCCCTCTACAGAAAGTAACTTGGGGGGGGGGCAGAACACTAAGACAGTGTCTCTATGTAACTCTGGCTCTCCGGGTACTCTCTATGTAGGTCATGTTGGCCTCGAACTCAGAGATCCACCTGACTCTGCCTCCTGTGTATTAGGATTAAAGGCATGAGCCACCACACCTGGCAATATTTTATTTTAATTTTATATGTGTGAGTGGTCTGCCTTCATGTATGTATATGCACCATGTGTGTGCCTGGTGCCCCTGAGTCCAGAAGAGGGTGTAGCTCCCTCTGAAACTGAAGTCACAGATGGTTGTGAGCTGCGGTGGGGGTGTTGAGACCTGAATCTGAGCCCTCTGCAAGGGCAGTGAATGCTCTTGCCCTCTGACTTATCTCTTCTGGCTTTATTTTTAATTATGTTTTTAAGGGGGTAAAGATGGGGAATTTATCACATGAGAGGAGAGGAGAGGGCATTCAATCCTCTGGAGCTGTTGTGTTAAAGGCCTAAAGTGAATTCTAGGTACACAAAAGCAGTGTGTGCTCATAACTGCTAAGCCATCTCTTTAGCCCCAGATGATGTTTTGATATCCAAAAATGTTAAGTAGTTTTCCAAAGTCACATCACTAGACAAAAGATGCAGAGTTGGATTTTTTAGAGGTTAGGTCTTTGGATTCCAGACTTCATTCCAGTTATTTCTTAACCAGCGTTCCCAATAAATAATTACTGGGGAACATATCCCTGTAGCCCTACTCTTGGGGAGGCTGAGGCAAAACAATCAAGACTTCAGGTCCCAGTCTTAGGTCTTCAGGCCAGACTTTGGGGAACATAACCAAAATTAGAAAATCAAGTAAAAGCATTGGAGAAAAAAAATATATCCTGTAATGATGAGTAAAATAACAAGAGACCATTAACAACCTACCAATAAATTTAAGTAAAGCAGTTCCATATCAATAGTATAAAAATACTGGGTTTAATATAATAACTAGAAAAGATTATTAGTAAATGAAATGTGTATTTCAGTAAAGTTGATAGAAGTGTCCATTAGCTCAACTATGGACTGTTTGGTAGTGCCTTTTGACTTATAGTAAATAGTGATGGCTAACATTTATTAGGTATATTCTTTGTATGAAGTATTGCTATATTTATTTTACAAGCTTTTCGGGAGAGGGATAGAAATTTTGTGTGTCAGTATATAACATGGAGGATGAGACCGACAGCTTTGTTCATGCTATGTGTAGACTGAACTACTGAGTCACACATACCCCTATGCTGTACATATTTTATTTTATAAAATCTTACAACAGAGGCCAGGGAGATGGCTTGGTCAGCAACGTACAGACATGAAGACCTGAGTTCTGAATTCCAGTACCCACATGAAAAGTTGGGTTTAATGGTGCATACTTATAACCCCAGGGGCGAGGAAGCAGAGACAAGTAGCTCCCTGAGGTTTGCTAGCCAAGCATTCTATCTGAATTGTACAAATAAACTAATGCACACATGCATATACATAAATAAGAAATGAATAAATCCTAGAAAAATACCAGACAGAGCAGTAATTAATGAAAATACCTGACATTGACCTCCAGCTTTTGACAAGTACATGCACAGGTGTGTGAATGCACCCCCACACAAGTGCACATACATATAAAATGTTTTAGAATTTGTATATAATTTAGACTACAGAGTAGCCATTAAGAAAGATACAGGTGAGCTGGAAAGATGATTCAGTGCTTTAGAGCACTTGTTGCTCCTACAGAAGACCCCGGTTTGATTACCAGCACCTTCATGGTAGCTTAAAACCATCTGTAACTCCAGTCGGAGGATCTGGTGTCCTCTTCTGTCCTTCACTGGAACCAAGCACACATGTGCACATATGTATATGCCAGCCAAACACTCATCCATATAAAATAAATCTTTTTTTTTTTTTTTTTTTTTTTTTTTTTTAGAGAGAAAGGTGTAGACTTTCATCATTGAGAATAACTATGTTTAGAATGTTGGATGGGAAAAATTGTATGTAAATAAGTATGTTATCTCAAGATGTTTACAGTATTATGTGCTTTCAAAGGATGCTTTAGAAATAAAACTCTGGGTACTCTCCAGTCTGGTTTTAATCCGATGATTCTAAGAACAATTGATTTAAATGTCCTTCTCTAACCCAGCCCCTAACCCTGACTTAAAAGACAGGAAGCTGCTCACCTGGCAGAGCCTCACAAGCAGTTAGGTTTCACTTTACTTTTCCCTTGCTTTTCTCAGAAATAGTTTACATGAATAATTTATGAATGTTCATGTGATTCATCAAAATAGTTCTCAAGTTAGTTACCTAATCAAGAGTTTTCATTTCAATTAGAATGTCAAAAGTATGTTACTTGCCTAGTATGTACAAAGACCTAGATTCAATCCTTAGGAACATTAATTTTTTTAAGTTTTGAACTCTGGCCAGGCATGGTGGTTTACTCCCTGCAGTTGGGAGGCAGAGCAAGTAGATTTTTATGAGTCTGAGGCCAGCCTGGTCTACATAGTGAGTTCCAGGATGACTAGAGCTACGTAGTGAGACCCTGACTCAAAAAACCTAAATAAATAAAATAGGAAGGGAGAAGGAGAGATAATTCAGTGGCCAAGAGTGATTGCCTCTAATCATGAGGCTGGAGGACTGGAGTTCCTGTGAACTCCAGTAATCCATCTCTACAGTAGGACGTAGACAGGAGAGGATGGCTGGTGATTGCTGGCCTCCACCTAACCATGCCCCAGGTTCAGGAAAGAGCCTTGTCACAGAATAACAGGCAGAGAGTGGTGGAAGAAGACACTCAGTGCCCTCCGTGTGTCAGTTCTGGTGCACACCATACACACACACACACTTTAAAAATATACTAAATGTATATTATGTTTTGAAATATTTTTAAATTTTTAATATTTTATAGAATGCATATACATACATATACATGTAGATATATTTGGTTTTTTTAGACAGGGTTTCTCTGTATAACAGTTCTAGCTGTCCTGGAACTTATTTCATAAGCCAGGTTGGCCTTGAACCCACAGAGATTCACCTGCCTCTGCCTCCTGAGTGCTGGGATTAAGGGTATGTGCCACCGCTGCCCAGTCAAAATGTTTGTGTGTGTGTGTGTGTGTGTGTGCGTATAAAGTATGATGAGTTCATGTCCCAGTGTCTGAGAAGCATTGGTTCCAAGACCCAAGCAGGTATCTAAAAATCTGATGTTTCGTCCATTCCATGAAATAACAATAGTGTTTGCATCTAACCTGTGTACTCTCACATCTGTATACTTTAAGTCATTTCTACATTACTATAATGCCTTCTATAGTGTTATAGTATAAATAGTTGTCAAACCATATTTTTACAAGTCATCTACAATAATGGATAGAAGTTTTTACATGTTCAATATAGGTGTAGGGTTTTTTTCTGAATATTTTCCATTAATACCATAAATAAGGAAATCTGTGGCTACTGAAGACTGGCTGTAGGTTATAAGGTTCACTGCCGGTAATGGGTTCTTAGTAAATAGAAGCTGAATAAATTCTGATGGATTCAAACTGAAAGAAACTGGAAAACATGCTATAAATATTGAGTTTGCTTTTTCTTCTTCCACAGAAAATAAAATCACGGGTTCATTTCTGCCCTTTCTTGATGAGTCTCATCTTGAAAAACTTGGAGTAAGGTAAGAATAGTGAAATTCACAGCTAGACCAGGTACGTTATTCACCTTTCAGAGACAAAGCTCAAGATCTTGGGTTTTACCCATCCTCAGTTCAATACCTTGCTATGTTTTAAAACAGAATCCATCACCTGCTGTTTTTGATGTACCTTGTGTTTATTTTTACATGTGGTTTCTATTTCAAAAGTCTTTGCTCACGAGCATTCTTGAAGTTTGTAGAGACCAACTTTTACTCTCAAATTCAGAATAGTTGACTTATATACACTGGAAATATATAGGAGCCAGCAAGAAAAAAAAAAATATCAAGAAAGTCAAAGTCACCGTCCTATCTATTTGTAGATCTTCCTAGAACTAATTGAGGACTGGGATGTGTCTGAGTAGGTATTGTCCCTTTATAGTTTTGTACACACACATGTAGATATCTCTGTATATGACTGAAGGTTCTAGGGTCTAAGTTAGAGCTCAGAGTTAAAGATCTTAGCTGAGTATTCAGTGTTTATGTGTGCTTTAAAATGGAGCTTTTCTTTCTTTCAGAATTGGCAACAGTTATTTAATGTTTGTGGTAACAGTAACTAGAGAATAAAAACAAAGGCTTATTCTGAGTTACTTCAGGTCCTACACTTAGACTGGAAATAGATTGTGAATGAGCATCAACAAAGAGTATTAGCTGTCCTTTAGAAACTGCCAGTCCTCGGGGACTTTTACTTTGTTTCTTTCATACCCATTTCAGCAGTCTCAGCCTTCCACTCCTCACCTTATTACCTGGGAACTAGTGGGTTTTTCTCCTAATCTCTTTTACTATTGACTTGTTTGGCAGATACTTGTGGGAGGCTCATTTGGTTCTAGGCACTCCTCTGAGAACTTGGGGCACATGGGTGAACAAGATAGGCAAATCCCAGAAGGAACACTACTGAACACTGTATGTCTTGTACCCTGCTTCCTGCCTCTGAGATGAAGTCTGTGACTCTTAGACTTGGGTTAGCCTGTAATGTTGCCACCTGTTACGTGTTTAAATTACCTAAAATTTGATTAAATTGGGGCCAGAGCTGTGGCTCAGAGGGTAAGAGCACTTACTGTTTTTCCAGAGGACCCTAGATCAGTCCCCAGTGACAACATTGGGTCTAATGCCCTTGCTGGCCTCCACAGACCATAATGTCCTCATGTGCACAAACCCCCACACACAGACACACAATTAGAAATAAAATATTTTCATTTAGATGAATTAAAATTTTTTAGTTTATTACGGTTTAATACATTAGTTCTTCTGTTGTACTATCTACACTTCAAGTGATCAGTAATCACTTGTATCGCGTTGCCACACAGGACAGATAAGGACACTTTGGCAAATGCAGAAAAGTTCTGGGAGGCGGCTGCCTCAGAGGATACCACAGCATCATCCAGTGAGCCCGTGGTACTAGCCTAGCTTGCTGCTGTGTTATGCTTTTCTCTTCTTTCTTTCCTTTCTCACCTTCTCTCTCTCTCTCTCTCTCTCTCTCTCTCTCTCTCTCTCTCTCTCTCTCTCTCTCTCTTTCTTTATCCTTCCCTGTCCCCCAACTCCTGTTTCCAGGATATAAACTCCTAAATAAATTTCCTGTATATGAGCTGTTGTGTTGGACTCAGCATTTTATGGGGAATCCTGTTTAGACAAACACTTTCTGTATTCCTTCAACTTTTGGTTAAATACTGACTTATGGAGGTTTTTCCAGAAAGTGAACATTGCTATACTGAATATACATATGATGATATCTCTGTATACATCCTGAGAACTACTCCTAGATTTTGTGATTGCTGTTTTGATACAGCAAAGAAGCCAATTGTGGTACTTCTGACTTGAAGTCTATTAAGACGTTTAACAAGATTTTTTTGTTCAACCTGATTAGATAGTAGATCAGTCAGGGATACTAATATCTACCTGCTGCTGTTTTCGTTAACATTTCAGTCAGGTGTGTTTCTGTTATGTATCAACCAATGAGCAATCACATATGAAGCAGGACATTATAAGATTCTGAGCTGTTCATATGCAGTTCCCATGTGAGTATATCCCCAGCTGGAGCATTATAGATAGTGGAAGGTAAAGTACAAAGCTAAAACCTCCACAGATACTAGTTCATGCTTGAGTCATACCTGGCGTTCATCAGTCAGTAAAGCATATGCTGGCTTCAATTTGGTTAAAAAATAGATTTGAGATGCAAAGTGAGCATCCAATAGAGGTGGAGGGCAGTTTACTGGGGGACAAAGTGCTGGCCTTCCTCAGAGTACAGAGCGGCAGCCTGATGGGAAGTCAGGAAGACTTTGTGACCATCAGCAGGGTGGGGGTCTGAGCTGATGCAGGCTGTTCTGGTTACATGGGAACTAGGTACACTTTGCCCCCATCAGTTGACCATCAACCATCAGCAGTAGGGAAGGGAAGTAGTGGCTTTCCCGACAGACAGAAGCTGAATTATGAGGTTTCTGAGGCATTCAGAGTTGAGGTTCTGTTTACCTGGTAAGAATCTGGCCTGGGTTGGGTCTGAGGCATCATTCTAGGACATTGTCAGCAGTGGAGCTTGCTTTGTGACCCAACACTTCTTATGGGAGCAAAGTTTCTAGGAGTACATTTGAGTTACTGATTTTCCTTCTAATTCTATTGTTTCTTTTTATTGGTGCGGAATCTGTAGAGCTGGCCATATGCTACCAATACTCCTGGAATTATTATTAACCAAGTACTGATACACTTACTTACATTGTTTCAATTTTAGTGCCTTGGAGGAGAGGAAGAAGATGATTGCATGTATCCAAGAATTGAGTCAATCTCACATAGAGCTAATGAAGGTAAAAGGTGTATAAAAAAGTATATAAATAGCATTACTTTATATAAGTGGTATTGGATCATAAGATATTATAGCTTACAACTTTGATTTATGATACCATTTAGTGTGTGTGTGTGTGTGTATACATAAAGTATCACAGCCCAGTGGTCAGAACACAACTTTTGGTAGTTGGTCCTCTCCTTCTACTATGTGGGCATAAGGGATAGAACTCAGGTCATGAGGCTCAAGTGTCTTTACCCACTGATATTTTTGGCAATTATCTAATTTGACACAAAAGCCCTAGTAACCTTCAGCCATTAAAATAACTTTTATGTATTAGTTTTTATTTTCATTCATTTATTTATTTTTGAAGGAGTGTCTTACTATTTAGCCCTGGCTGTCCTAAAACTTGTTATGTAGACTAGGCTGATCTCAAACTCAGAGATCCACCTGCCTCTGCTCCCAAGTGCTGAGAATAAAGACATGCATCACCACATTTGTCAAGGTTTTCTTTTTCTTAGTTTTTATTAATTAATTTATTTTTATATGTATTAGTGTCTTGCCTGCATGTATATATGTGTATTTTTTTTTTTTACATGATCCCAGTAGAGGCTAGAAAAGGGCATTGGATACTTGGATACTCTGGAACTGGAGTTACAGATCATTGTAAGCTATTGTGTGTGCAGGTGCTGGGACTTCTTTCTATGCTTTGACCCTATTACTCTGGAGAGATTCTACATATACAGTAACTGAACAGTTAATGGGATTGTGTTATCTTGTGGGTTAGTAACAGACTAGGATATCATATAGCCACTACAAATCATAAGCAGACCATGTGACTGTGTAAGGAATCATTTATATCAAGTTACAATAGTAAGAATGAAAATGACCACTGGGTATGGTAGCACACAGCTTTAGTTCCAGCACTCGGGAGGCAGAGGCAAAGGTAGGTGAATCTCTGAGTTAGAAGACAGCCTGCTCTACAGAGTGAGTTCCAGGACTGCCAGGGCCACACAGAGAAACCCTGCCTCAATAAATAATAAATAAATAGGCCAGTTATAAGATAGTAATGAAAAGCTTGGCGTTTGTGGCACACACCTTCAGTGCTGGCACTTGGAAGGCAGAGCTAAGCAGATCTCTGTGAATTCGAGGCCAGCCTGGTCTACAGAACAAGTTCCTGGACAGTCAATGGCTACACAGAGAGAAACCCTATCTCAAAAAACCAAAAATAAATAAATAAATAGTGATGAAAATACTTAAATATTACACTAAAACTTAGGAAGAGATTATTTCTAATAACTTAATGCTCAACATTAAAGGAATATTTTTTTTTAAATGTTCATCAGGATATGTGAGATAGCTCAGTGCGTTAGGGTGCTTGCCACCTGACCACACACACATACACAGAGAGAGAGAGAGAGAGAGAGAGAGAGAGAATAAATAGATGTTAAGGGGACTACAGAGCTGGAGCAACACTGGCCACTCTTGGAGTTAGATTATCAGTGGGGACTCACAGCTGTAACTGGTTCTAGGAGATCTGATGCCCTCTTCTGTTCTTCACAGGCACTGTACCCACATGGTGTACAGATTCGCAGTCAGTCAAACATTCACAAAATAATCTTTTTTTTTTTTTTTAAATTGTAGCTGTTCATTAATGAGATGCAGCCATTAAAATGATTATTGTATAAAAGTATAAAATGTTCACTGTTCATTTTGATATAAAAAGGAAATTGTATTATGGTATCAACTGTAAAAGGTAGTTTTTAAAATTCTTTCTTTCTATGTATTTGTGATAGAGGGACATGTGTGTGCCAGTGCGGGCATATCGACAACTTTATAAATGTAATTTTCCAGGTATTTAATGATCCTATTCATGGCCATATTGAGTTCCACCCTCTCCTTATCCGAATCATTGACACACCTCAGTTTCAGCGGCTTCGATACATCAAACAGCTGGGAGGCGGCTACTATGTTTTCCCAGGAGCTTCACACAATCGCTTTGAACACAGTCTGGGGTAAGAAGGGAAGGGCGTAGGGGACATGCCGTTTTTACCCCTTCTCTCTCATGGAATAGTCTAATTTAATCTCTTAGAGAGTACTTTTTCAAATGGCCATTGTAACATCTTTATTTTATTGATGAGGAAACTGATAGGACTTTGGAACCCTCGTATCATATTTTATGTTTTTTGAAAAGACCTCATATCCTCCTGAAACCTAATGGCTGTTGACAGGTCAACTGGATTAAATACTTGTCTGCAAATACTTGAATTGAATAGGATTGGCTACTGGCATAACTAACTATAAATATGATTAGTTTTCCTTTAGTCCCTTTTTAGTCTTTTCCTTTCTTCTGAAACAGGTGCTCCTGGTGGAGCTTAGGATGCCCTCAAGCCCAGGGTCCTTCCGCCTCATCTCCTGAGAATGGAGATTCTGGATATACTCCATCATGCCTGGCTCCTGTTTAGTTGTACAGATTCACCCTTTTAAGCAAAATAATTGTGTCAGGAAATATGTAAATTAGAGAAATGCTTATAAACTCTGAGAGGGTCTTTTCTGTTATGTGCCTTTCCATTGTGCATGTAGAGCTGGGAGAAGTGGGCAGAGAATAATTGGCAATTAAGTATTTGGTTTTTTTATTTACTTTGTGGTTTTCGTTTTCTGTGTAGGCTTTTTTTTTTTTTTTTTTTTTTTTCTTTCTTTCTTGCTTACTTCCTTTTGTTTCCTTTAGGGTTTTGTTATATAGCCTCGCTGGCCTCAAACTCCTAATCCTTTGCCTCCCAAGTGCCAGAGTTACAGGTGTGTGCCACTGTGTCCAGGTCCAGGAGTCAAGATAAATGTACCTATGCTCAAATTATAAACAGTATTTATTAAACACTTAATAAAACTTTCCAAGCCACAAACAAGTTGCTACCTTCCTAGGGCTGAGTTGAGAGCAGAGGAAAGAATATATTTTTTAGGACTTCCTTTCAGAGAGAAGTGCCAAAGTGCATTTAACACTATTTTATTTTTGTGTGCTTTGCTGGGGATTAAGCCTAAGGTCTTTTACGTGCTAGTCAAGTGTTCTGCAAAACCACATCCTCAGCCCTTCTAAGCCCGTATGTCTAGTCTGTGTGGGAACATCAGAGCCAGCTCTCAGGACTCAAAAGTTTCAAGTTTCAAAGGTACATACTTCAAACAAAATTTGACTTCTGATCTCTGTCTCTGCAGGGTTGGGTACCTAGCAGGCTACCTCGTTCGAGCACTCGCAGAAAAACAGCCAGAGCTGCAGATCAGTGAGCGAGATATGCTCTGTGTTCAGATTGCCGGACTGTGCCATGACCTTGGTAAGCTCACACAAAGCCATCACTCCATGTAAGATCCTACTGTCTTACCTCGGCTTTCACATTCAAAACTCAGTCTAACCAAGGGAGATGTAGAAGTATTTTAATTTTTTTTTTTAATTACAGTGCACCATGGTTCCTAATATTATTGATGAGGACAAAACATTGTTAATTACTTGTGAATTTTCCATATTAAGCATCTTTGCTATGCCACATGAAAGGTATTATTATTTCTTTATTGTTTGTTTATTAGGTAGAGTTCTTACTCTGTAACCCAAGCTGTCCTAGAACCCACTGTATATAGCCCAGGCTAGCCTCAAACTTTAGGCAGTACTCCTGCTTCCGCCTCCTGAGTGCTGAGATTACAAGCATGCTGCTGCACAGGGCTGAAAGGGATTTCTCAACAGTGAGTTTTTCTTACGCTGTCTTTAGGGTAATGGGAATGTGATTTTTCGTTTATCATTCTCATTGACTAAAATTGCTTTTCCCTGTAGTTCCTTTGTTAAGTCTATCCCTTCTCACAACTAGAACAGGTTTAAGAAATGTTTTTCTTCCTGGACTCACAGGAAGTCTTAGCCCAATTAAATCCAAGTAAAAGAATATCATCCTCTTCATTTAAAAAAAAAAAAAGAAGGTGGCTGCCTCAACCTCTTTAGTTAAGGAGAAAGTGTGCTTCTGTCTCTGTGTAGACACTGAAGGATTAGAGTGCAGCTGCCTTTCTGTCAGCCCAGAGATTTCAGTACCCTCAGTGCCTTCTTGTATGCTTTTTGGGTTTGGTTTTGGTGATCGGACTCAAACTTAGGACCTGTGTGTGCTCTCCTACTGAGCTGCAACTCCAGCCCTAAATCAATAAACCTTGATTTTTTTTTTTAAACAAAACACTCAGTATTCCTGGTAGCTCATACAAAACTGGAGACTGAGCTAAGGAGGGTTAGCTTTCCATTATGCTTTTGCATCTTAATCTGTTGTTTTGGAAAATTGAAAGTGCAGATTTGTTCTTTTTATGTACATATGAACTTATGGATTAGTAACAGTGTCTGTTGATATTTAAAATAAACTAAAAATATATTTTAAGAATTCAGTTTTAGCCAGGCGTTGGTGTCATGCACGTTTAATCCCAGTACTTGGGAGGCAGAGCCAGGTGGATCTCTGTAATTTCGAGGCCAGCCTGATCTACAGAGCTAGTTCCAGGACAGGCTCCAAAGCAATACAGAGAAACTCTGTCTTGAAAAACAAACAAACAAAACAAAAACAAAATCAGTTTTTACCAATTTACAAATATTTTTCATATTTGAAAGCTGCTTTTGTTTTTAGGTCATGGGCCATTTTCTCATATGTTTGATGGAAGGTTTATCCCACTTGCTTGCCCAAATGAAAAGTGGAAGGTATGTATTCATCTGTTCCATAGTTAATAAAAGAAATAGAATTGTATCTAGTTATCGAATTGAATTATCTGTTTTTCCTCATTGTTCTAGCACCCTTAGAGTGTTCAGGGTGCTTCCATCCACATAAGTCTGTTTCATTCGATCCCCACCGTAGTCCTTGGAGAAAGAACCCTCCAAAGCACAGTGATGCATGCACTTCAGAGCACTATAGAATGACGGGCCAGTCCTAGAGAACCAGCTTCCTCAGTCTCTGTGCACTGTTCTTTCTACTCTGTGGCATTACTGTACAGTTTGTTTTTAAAGTCCAACTTCAGTGTTTATTTTAGTCTAGCCATGAAGTTAAGTATCACCATTTTTAGTAAATGAACTTTTTTTTTTTTTTTTTTTTTTTTTTTGTTTTGTTTTGTTTTTCATGATAGGATTTCTCTGCATTTCTTTGGAGCCTGTCCTGGAACTCTATGTAGACCAAGTTGGCCTCGAACTCAGAGATCCATCTGCATCTGCCTCCCAAGTGCTGGGACTAAAGGCATGCACCACCAACACCTGGCTTGAGCTTGTGTTTTTAATAGCGTTTTCCTATGTAGTTGAGAGCGATTGTAACATGAAAAATAAATGACCTAGAGACAGATATTGGGGTTCAAACTTCACGCTCAAGGACTGAAAAGCAAAGTAGCTGGCTACTAGCTCTTACCACTACCTCAGGCAGAAAGAGCTGTTCCTGCTGCCTCTCCTCAGTGTGACTGGAGAATCCTGAGACTGAATGTCTTCCTATCCTCAATGTGGCTGGAGAATGAATGCCTGATACTGAGTCCTTGCTCCTGTCTTTTATACCTCTCTAGTGCTGGGATTAAAGGCGTGAGCTCTGTTACTCTTTTAGACTGAGTCAATCTTGTGTATCCCTGGATGGCCTTGAACTCAGGGATATCTGTTTACCTCTTAATCCTGAGTTTTAGGATTAAAGGTGTGTACTACTACCTCCTAGCTTCTGGCTGCTAGGATTAAAGGTGTGTGCCTGGCTTCTATGGCTTGTGGCTGACTTTGCTTTCTACATCCTCAGGCAAGCTTTAATAAATAGTAAATATTATTACAATTCCCTTTTGTCTAATTAAAAAAAGAGAGCTACAGTTAACATAATAAAAATTATATATAGTAAATACAATAAGTATATACACTATATTCAGGCAGTAATTTCATCAACAATGTCTAGCTAGTCCTTTTGCATTTGACAAATTTAAGAAAATATCTAGTTCATTTTCATTTGACAAATTCAGAGAAAATATTTTGTCCATTTGTATTTGACAAATTCAGAGAAAATACATCATTATCTATCCTAACTTGGTGAGTCCAAAGTCTTGTACCTAATTTACTTTCCATTCTAATTTACATTATCAAATTATCTTTTAATGTTTCTCAATCTTTTACACTTTATACATCTTTAGTGAGTTTCTTTTCTGAGTCTGGTAAATTATGAAAACTGTAACTAAACTATCTAGTCTTCAACTCCCTCAGAGACCCAAGAAGGAAATATTATTAACTGAGTAAGCAGGAAATCAAGCAAGCCACTTCTAAAAATTATGAGAAATGGTAAAAACATCTGGCTGCCAAACAGTCATCCAAGGTTCCTGTGCAACATTGGGACATCCATCTCTGGCCTATAGGCCTAGCATTTCTGACAGGCTTTTCTGTGAAGTAGAATTTTGAAGGACTGTCCCACCTTGTCTTGGCAAGGTTTTGCAGTCACTCTCTTTTGTGTCCTGTTTGTCCATTTTGGACAACATACTGTCAGCAGTCCAGGCAAAGGCATACCAAAAGGTGTGTACCTGACTTCTATGGCTTTTGACTGACTTTGCGTTCTGAATCCTCAGGCAAGCTTTAATAAATCATAAATGATATATCACTACAAATGACTTCAAACACTGTCCTCCCTCAGCCTTCCAGAAGCTGAGAGTATGTTACGCCCTCATTTCTAACTTTCAGTGAACCCTATATAATTACACATTTGTTGGTGAAACTGTGCATTTTGAATCAGTTTTTGAGAAATGAATTTGGCCTCCCAGTTTCTACCATACTATATTTCTAGCAACTAGAAGAGGAAAGCACATTAATATAAGCTGAGAGCTCTTTATGTGTCAAACCATGTTTCCTCTGCCTGCCCCTCCCTTTTTTTGATTGCATAATGCTTTATTAACTTTGAATTTTCTGAATGCTAATGAGAAAGGGATAACAGCTGTGGAGAGACATTGGATACTAGAAAACTACGGAATTAAATCAGCCTGTATACTTTAAAGATGTGCTGACCTCGAAGTATGTGTTACATTGGGGAAGGGGTTTTACTTTTATTTGCACAGAAGAAAAGCTATGGATACTATCAAAAATGATAAGGATTAGATTTGAACAAGAGACACCCCTTGACTAGGAAAGGTGATAGTTAACCAATCAGCATGTGCCTGCCCTTTTTTAAAAATATATAATTTACATCCAATAAATTATGCATTGTTTTGAGATAGGGTCTCATTATGTAGAGCAAGCTGGCCTTGACACTGAGAAATCGCCTGCTATTATTTCCCTAGAGCTAGGATTAAAGTCATGTAGTATTGCTCCTAACTTAAATTGTACAAAGCTGATGGGAGTTTGACAAGTGTACACATGAAGTCAGAAGGTAGAACATTTTCATCATTTGGAAAATTCCCTTATGCCTTACCTTTTTTTTCTGTGGTACTGAGGAGCAGCCCATATCTGTGCACCCACTAAATATATACCACTGCCACAGCCCAGCCCCTCCTTCAAGTCTTTTAAAATCAGTCCTGCTCCATCACTTCTGTTTTTCATGAACACAGAATAGTCTGTCTTTTCTTAGACTTTGGATCTCTGTTTAATTTGTATTTTCTAATCTCTTGTAAATATGATTTCCTGTTGTTTGCACTATGTGGTTTTGTGGGGGTGTGTGTGTGTGTGTGTGTGTGTGTGTGTGTGTGTGTGTGTGTGTGTAGACTTCCTCTTAATGCTTTGCCCATTTAAATAGTTGATTGTGGGCTAGGAGGCTACTTAATGGGAGATCACTTGCCAAGTAGCTGAGTCTTTAGGTTTGATACTCAGTGCTGTCAATACAATCAGAAGTGAACACTCCTTCATCCTCCAGTGTTGGATGCAGCTGATGGCTTTTTGCTGCTAAGGCTGTACCTATTGTATGAACCACACTTTGTCCTTTCTCCTTTTGATGAGCTCTAGGTTGTTTTGGATTTGAGCTACTATATCTAAGGTTGCTGTGTGTGTTGTTCTCCAACAGTTTTGTGGAAATATGCTCTCAGTGTCTCCTAAATGAGTACCTCACAGTAGAATTGTGGTGTCTTGTGTTAGGTGTTCATTTAACATTCTAAAAACCTTGTGTTTGTTCTATTTTACACTCACCAGCAGTGTGAAAATTCCCAATGCCAGTCTACAACCTCACCATATCATCTTTAATTAAATTAACTTATTTGTTATCTGTGTATAGTGCTGAAGATAGAACCCAGAACCTTGTACATGCTAAGCAAACACCCTGTCATCATGTTACACTCCAGTCCCAGTATTTCACCTTTTCGGTCATCTCACCTGATTATGAAATGGTATCTCAGTTTCATTAGCATTCTCTAATCTATCACTAGTATGACTTCCTGTTATTTGCCAGTGGACTTGGGGTGGTGACCACACCTGAAGCTATGCCCTAAGGTGTGATCACCACCCAAACTCTACTGGCAGAACAAGATGCTTCTACAATTCTCAATCTTCCCTAATGTTACAACCCTTTAATACAGTTTCTGGGGTTGTGATGGTCCCCCAACCATAAAATTATGTTCATTGATACTTCATAACTGTAATTTGACTAGTTATAAATAACAATGCAAATATCTGTTTTCCAGTGGTCTTAGGTGACCCCCATGAAAGGGTCATTTGACACCCCCCCCAAAGGTCATGACTCACATGATAAGAACCACTGTTGTTTTTTTGTTTGGCTTCCTGTTTGGTTTTCTGTTGTTATTGTTGTTTTTGTGTTTGTTTGTTTGTTTGTTTGTTTGAGACAGGGTTTCTCTGTGACTTTGGAGCCTGTCCTAGAATTCGCTCTGTAGACCAGGCTGGCCTTGAACTCACAGAGATCCACCTGCTTCTTCCTCCCGAGTTCTGGGATTAAAGGAGTGCACACCAATGCCCATAAGTAAAGTGGAGAGGTGGATTTTGACACTGGGAGATAGTTCTGTTTGTAAGGTGCTGAACATCTGAGTTTGATCCCCAGAGCCTTCATTAAAAAAAAAAAAAAAAAGACAAGTGTTGAGTGTGTGTGTTTGGAACCCTGGTGGTAGGGAGGCAGAGCCAGGCAGGTTCCTGGGGCATGCTGCTCAGCCCAACCTGACCTACTTGGAGAATTTGAGACCAATAGGAAACCCTATATCAAAAACATAAGGTGGGCAGTAACTGATGAATAATAGCTGAGGTTATCATCTCCTCTCCACAGGCACACATTCAAAAGAGTTTTTATTGTTTCTCTACTTAGTATTGATTTGTAAGAATTTATATATACAGATATTGTTTTATATGTGTTAGGAATGTTTTGTTAGTGTTTAACTTGCCACTTCTTTTTTTTAATGGTGTCTTTTGAGAAAGACATCTTCTAGTCTCCTTTAAGTCACTAAATTGCATAGTTTCCCATCAGTTTTAGTGCCGTGGGGCCTGCTCTCTGGATGAAAGCCATAAATTTGGAAGTTGGTACTCTGCCCTCTCACCTTACTGTTGACTTTCTTTTAACGTCTGCTTGCTTTTGGCTAGTGTCCAATACAGTCAGGAACTTAGTCGTCCAGAGTGTAGTTTTGTTTTGTTCTTTTATATCCAGCAGGATTGATCTAACAGGATCTAGGAGATATGCATTCCTCTGTGTGTGTGTGTTCTCTGTGTATTGTGTGTGAGTCTGTGTGTGTATGCTGTGTGTATCTATATGTGTGCTATGTGTATGTGTGCTGTGTATGTGCTGTGGTGTGTCTCTGTGTATGTGCTGTTTATGTGTGCACTCTGCATATGTGTGGTATATGTGCTCTGTGTGTGTACTGTATGTATGTGTGCTCTTACACATGCTAGGTAAATGCTATACCACTAAGCTAAAAAATATATTTGCCGGACTGAAGAGGTGGTTCAGTGGTTAATGGCATTGACTGCTCTTCCAGAGGACTCAGGTTCAATTCCTAGCACCCACATGGTAGCTCACAATTGTCTGTAACTCCAGTTCCAGGGGATCTGATACCTTCACACCAATATACATAAAATAAAAAGAAAAATTAATTAATTAAAAAAACAACAACAAATTAAAAAATATATATATATTTGCTTTTTATTTAATAGTTTAGCTCATATGGAAATAATTCTTAAATACAAATAATACAAATATAATATCTTTCCCTTATTTGTAGAGATACTTGTTTTATTTCTCTGCAGTTTTGGGAGTTGAACTAAGATTATCAAGCATGATAAGCATCAGCCTAATGGATTACTATTTATTGAGTAACAGTTAATCCTTTTCTTACAGATCTAGGTTGCCAACATTTTAAAAATTCCCATATATGATGAATCTTCCTAGATTCTATTTCACAGCTTTTAAAAAAATATTTATTTTTATTTTTTATGTATTTGTTGCCTGCATGCATTTATATGTGCATCACAAGAATGCTTGGTACCCACGGAGGTAAGAAGAAGGCATTGTATTCCTTCGAGCTGAAGTTAATTGATGGATGTGAGCCACTATGTTGGTGTTTTCTTAACCACTGAGCCATTTCTCTAGTCCTGTCTCACATTTTATTAATTATTACTATTCTATTCAAGTTTTTTTTGTACTTAGAACAGTGGTTGTTTATGTGAATTTGTGCAGTGTGAAACTGCATTCTACTGTAATTATTCCAGAGGCCACAAGGAGACAATGACAACTTCCAGGCCAGTCCAGGCTATATAATGAGTTCATGTCAACATAGATTATGTAATGAGACCTTTTATTCAAAACGAACAATGGATAATCAAGGTAGCAAAGTTACCATTTATTCTGTTTGTAATGAATATATCCTGAGTCAGTTCGTAACTGTTCTAGAATCATTCTAGGTTTGTTTTCATTTTGAATCAGTTTTGGTAAGACATGTACAGGGCCATGTCTCCAGGGCCATATGCTCTTTATAGTGATGGTGAAAGAGTGAGCAGAGACTTGAACAACCAGATTTGAGAATTTAATTCTGATCTTGACAGAACTGGAAGACACTTGATTTTACTGGCAATGTTGCCAATACCCTTGTCCACCACAAGGTGGAAATACCAGCCAACAGCTTTTTACTTCAAATGTTCTGTGGATGGAAAAAAAAAAAAAAACAAACTTGAATTTTAGAGTGATATTCATTCTATGTATATGATTTGGTAATATTTTTGGTAATATAAATGATTATATTTCATAAAATATTTTCTTTGTCTTTATTTATGAAATAATAAACATGGTTTGTAAAAGCTGTATAGACTAGGGAAAGGAGATTAATAAAATAAAGTATATGTGAAATGCTACAGTGAAACTCATTCCTCTGTATACCCATTTTAAAAGCAATAAAAGTTATTTTATGACTGGGCATAGTCACTCAGGAAGCAGAGATGGGCGGATCTCTATGAGTGCAAGGCCAGCCTGGTCTGTATAGCGAGGTCCTGGCCAACCAGAGCTATAGAGTAAGACCCTGTCTCAAAAAAACCAACAAACCAATGAAAATGTTTTGTGGACAAATAAAATGTTGACAAAAATTGACTAATTTAAAAGCTGTAACATTGTAATCGGGAACTCGGTAATTAACAATCAGTGGGACTTCATCTGAGAATGACCTAGAATCCAGAATAATCTGTTTAATAAGAGAATCTGTAACAGGTTGTGTTATATTGACTTTTCACAGCATGAACAGGGATCAGTTAAGATGTTTGAGCATCTGGTTAATTCTAATAAACTCAAACCTATCATGAAAAACTATGGGCTCAACCCTGACGAAGATATTCCCTTTATTGAAGAACAAATTACAGGACTACCTAAAGCTAAAACTCAAAAAAAGGACTGCTGGGTAAGTTTTTAATTCATGTTAATTAGAGCCAGCTGGCACTTTCCATCTAGTCTAATCTTGATTCTTTCAGAACTACATATTTGGCTATTGTAGGGGTGCTAAACATCAAAATATAACTTATGTGCATCTGGTTTCTAATGCAAAAACAAAAAGGTTGTATTTTTCCCCTCATCTTGAGTTCTTTAGACATTATTTTCCCCCAAATGATAGTTTATGTCTGCAACATCAGCACTTGGGATTCAGAAGCATGAGGATCAAATGTAAAAGTATACACCCTGGGCTGCAGAGGTGTCTCAGCAGGGTAAGAGTACTTGCTATACAAGTGTGAGCATCTGAGTTCACATCCCTTGCATCCATGTAAAAAGCCAAGCTGAGTAACAAACACCTTTGATTCTAGCACTAAAGGGGCAGAGGCCAACCTGATCTCCATAGATTCAGGCCAGCCACCCCTATATAGTGAGACTCTTTCTCAAGTAAACAACACAGCTGTAGGTAGACTTTTCTTTCCTGACAGCCAATTCCCAATTCACAACATGGAGACTTATTATTGATTAAAAATGCTTGGTCCATAGCTTATGATGGTTACTAACTATCTCTTACAACTTAAATTAACTCATATTTTCTTAAATACCCTGTGTCAACGTGGTGGTACCTTCTTTCAGCGTGGCAAGTTCATCCTATATTTCTCATGATCCTTAGACTCTGCCGTACTTCTCAGCATCCTCCTAGTCTGGGTCTCTTGGCCCAATAAAGGCCAGTTAGCTCTTTATTAACCAATGAGAGTAATACATATTTATACTGTACAACAACACAGCATACAACAACAATTTTTTAAAAAGTTCCTGGCAGTGGTGGTGCATGCCTTTAATCCTAGCACTTGAGAGGCAGAGGCAGGTGGATCTAAGTGAGTTTGAAGCCAGCCTGGTCTACAAACCAAGTTCCAGGACAGCCAGGATTGTTCCACAGAGAAACCCTGTCTCACAAAAAAGCTTGGCTGGACACAGACTTGTAACTTCAGCACTGAGAGGCAGAAGATGACATTCAACATTGACCTCTAGTCATTATGTGTATATGTGTACACACAAACACATACATATGCACACACACACACATATATGAGGTAGATTGAAAAGCAACTATCTCATTTCTAAAGAAAAATTTAGCTTCAAAAATACTTTGAGTGGTTTGTATTTAGAGTAACTGTGTAGCTATTTTGAAGCATAGTAATACATAACACAGGTTTGTGGTTATTGAAGTCTGTTACTAGAGAGATGGGAGCAGGAGTAACAGAAGTTAAATTGTCCTCTCCGGAACAGTGAATTCAAGGTGAGTCTGGGTTACCTGAGACTCTTAAAAAAAAAAAAAAAAAAAAAAAAAAACTGAGCATGGTTAGCATATGCCTTAAATCCCAGCACCCGGAGGCAAAGGCAGGCAGATCTCTGATTTTGAGGCCAGTCTGTTCTACATAGTGAGTTCCAGAATGGCCAGTGCTACACAATGAAATCATGTCTCAAAAAACAACGAAATATAGTAGTATAAACATGCATACAAAATAGATGTATACATTCACATGTATGTACACAGAGGGGAGAGATTGTTTTTGTTTTTCCCTGGTTGGGGGAGTCATGCTCTGTAGCCCATGCTGACTTTGAAGTCACAATCCTCCTGCCTCAGCCTTCCAAGTGCTGAGGTTACAGGTATGTGTCACCATACCCAGTGAAAGACATTATTTTAATATATGAATTCAAGGGTTACCACTTAAGGATCATATTTTACTAGTTTGTAATTAAATCTTGTAATTTTTAAAAGGTTTTAAAATCAAGAAAATTTAAATATTGTTGGTTTTAGGAAATAATTACTAGTATCCTTTCAGTGTCACTGGAAGGTTTAATGTTTTCCTACTTACACACACACACACACACACACACACACACACACACACCTGCCTGTGAACTACAGTGTACATATGGAAGTCACAAGACAGTTTGCAGGAGTTAGTTCTCTCCTTCGACATTGTGGGTCCTGGGATAGGACTCAGGTGGTCTGGTGGCAGCAAAAGCCTTTACTTGCTAAGTCATCCTGCCAGCCCTTTATAGACTTATTTATTCATTTATTTTTGTGGTGCTGGCCCAGGCCCTCATACATGTATGTACTGTACCACAGGACAACATCCTCAGCTGGAAGACTTGGTATTAATAGGATAGCATATACTTGAGCATTTCTTTTTCCTTCCTACTTCTTTAGAAGTGAGGAGAAAGAAAGATTAGCATTCTAACTCAGTGTCTTGTTTGTAATTTGCAGCAGTTGCTTTGCTTATAAATAGGTCTGTGTCTATCTAAAACCTCCATGGGGTTCTCTTGTTTTCCAGTGGCCATATACAGGACGACCTGCTGAGAAGAGCTTCCTTTATGAGATAGTGGCTAACAAAAGAAATGGCATTGATGTGGACAAATGGGATTATTTTGCCAGGTATGCACTGAGTGTTTACATTGTTAAAAATCTTTGTATAAATGTAGCGTTAGGACCCACCTGGCTAATCAGAAGTTGGCCACTACAGTCCTGTCATGGCTGAAACACTAGCTTTGTGACCACTGAGGAACAACTGAAACAGCCTTGCCCTCACCCTGAGTGTTCTGAGTGCCTTCCTGCCCCCTGGTCCTGCATCACAATGGCTTACTCTTCTGGACTTCCTGGCGGGCTCTGGTTAGCTCTCATGGTAGAAGACAGTCTCTCTGTTTACTTGTTCATAGTCAAGGCTTTGATCGTCAATATATTGAAGGATTTTAGTAGTAAGTGAGGACTGCATGACCTTCCAGGTACTCATACCTCAAGTTGCTGTGAATGTCAGTACACACTCAATCCTTTTTTTTTTTGTGTGTGTGTGAGACAGGGTCTCACCACATAGCTTGGCTGGCCTGGAAATCACTACATAGACCAGGCTGTCCTCAGATTCATACAGATCCATCTGCCTCTACCTCCCACATGCCAGGATTAAAGGCATGCACCACCATACTCTGCCTCACATGACCCATCTTACTTTGTTTATTCTGTACTTTGAATACTTTTTTGAGACAATGTCTGTCTGTGTATATCAGTCTGGCCTCAAGCTCGTGGAGATCTGCCTGCCTCTGCCTCCTAAGTGATCTCATGTTACTTTAAAGCAAATCTCAGGCAACATAGCATCTCCTCACAAAATGTTTCAGTGTGGATCTATAAATAAAGTGTTTCTGTTAAACCTAAAAACACTGCAGTTGTTGTAAGGTTTTTTGTTTTGTTTTTTATTATTTATTTATTTATTTATTTATTTATTTATTTATTTATTTTTGAGACAGAGTCTTACTTTATAACACTGGCTGACCTGGCCTGTGTAGACCAGGCCAGTCTCAAACTCTGAGATCTTCTGCCTCTGCCTCTGCCTCTGCCTCCTGAGTGCTGGGATTAAAGATGTACTCCACCACTTCTGGCTAAGGTATTACTTAACATATGGTCAGGATTCATACTTACCTAGCTCCTTCATAACTGCCTTTTTACCATGTGCAATTGGTTATCCACTGTCTACACACTACACCTGGTGATCACTCGCCAGGTTTTTTTTTTTGTTTTTTGTTTTTTTTTTTTCTGGAGCAGCTCCCCTCGTGTTCTTCCCGCTGACTCACTTAGCAATTCTACCCCTTTGTGTCCTTCAGTATATTCTTCGGTCCCCGGCCAGCCTTCTGCAAGCTGGTACATCCAAAGCCTGGTTCAGAATTCAAAAGGAAGAAAAGGAAAGAAATGTAGTGCTTGTATTTAAGGCATAGTTTCCTTGTTGAAATGCTTCATATGTCTGCTTTGGAACTTCCTAGGGACTGTCACCATCTTGGGATCCAAAACAATTTTGATTACAAGCGCTTTGTTACGTTTGTCCGTGTCTGTGAAGTAAAAGACCCAATCCATGGCCATAAGATGAAGCACATTTGTACTAGAGAAAAGGTACGTTAATGTTCTCAGAAATAAGAGTTGCAGCTCCTGGTCTGACATCTGGAAATAATCATTCGGCCATTTGGAAAGATCCAGAAACTATCTTTTTTCCTTTCATTTCCTCCTTCCTTTCTTTTCTCTCTCTCTCTCTCTCTCTCTTTTTTTTTTTTAGATTATGTGCATGTGCATGTATGAGCTATGTGTTTGTGCTTGCTGTGTGAATGCATGCATGCAGAGGCTGCCCTCCTCTGTCACTGTGTGCCTTGTCCCTTTACGTCAAGATTTCTCCCTACACCTTGTGCTCTTTTTTTTTTTTATTAGCCATCCTCCTGTTTCTGTCTCCCCCAGCACTGGGGTATAGCACGAATAATAAAAACCCAGAGAGATATTGAGGTTCAAGCTGAAGATCAAAAAAGTAAAGCAGCCAACCACTAGAGAGTTCTTACCTCTACCAAGGCTAGGGCAATTCTATCCTCAGTGTGACTGCACACTGAATACACTGAACTCCTGTCTCCTCTTGCCTTATATTCCTCTGTAGTGCTGGAATTAAAGGTGTGCACCACCCAGCATCTATGGCTAACTAGTGTGGCTGCTGGGATTAAAGGTGTGTACCACTAAGGCCTGGCCTGTATGGCTGACTAGTGTGGCTAGCTTTGCGTCTTCAGTAAGCTTTATTTGTTAGATCATAAACAAAGTATCACCACATTGGGGTTGCAGGTACACAGGAGACCGACCACACCCAGCTTATTACATAGATGCTGGGATCCAAACCCAGGTCCTCATGGTTGTGCAGCAAGCATTCTTTTAACTGGTGACATCTCTATAGCCCCCACAAACCCATCTTTAAAAAAAAGATTTATTATTATTTTTAGTCATGTGTATATGTGTCTGTGTGTGGGTATGTGCACATAAGTACAGGTTCCCCCAGAAGCTAGAAGAAGGCATCATATCACCTGGAGCCGGAGTTACAGGCAGCTTGGTACACCCAACATAAATGCTAGGAGCCAGACTCAGGCCCTCTGCAAGAGTAGCACAGACTCTTAGCTGCTAAGCCATCTCTCTAGCCCTTCATTTGTTAAGTGTTTAAAACTTACTTCATTTTATTACACTGTTAAATAAGAACAACAATAATAAAATTAAATCCAACATTTTTTGAGTCTTATACTGGGTAGGCTTCAAGTGTTTGTGGTAGATCAATTTTTATCATCCCATTATTATTATTTCATTTGTTTCAGTCTGTGTTCTGTTGCTATAACAAAATACCTGAGCCTGTATAATTCATAAAAGAAAGAGGTTTATCCACTTCATAGTTCTAGAGGAGCATGGAGGTAACATCTGTTCTGCGTCTGGTATGGATGACGCACTGCTCCATGCATGGTGAAAGCCGGAAGTACAAACAAGGAAGGTGCTAAGAGAGGGAGGGGCAGCGCCAGGCTGTCTTTATAACAGCCTGTTCTTCCCACAAACTAACCGAGTCATCTCATGAGGCTGGAGCCATCATAACTTATTCAACCTCTTAAAGGCCCCCTCTCTCACCACCGTTTCTTTAGGGACTGAACTTCGATGTGACTTTTGGTGGGACAAGCCATATTTTACTGTTTAACTAGTGAGCAAAGAGGCATGTAGAACAGATGAGCTAAATAAGTAAGAAAACTAGAATTTCAACCCCATTAGGTCCTTACTAGATGTTGTCTTAGGGCTTCTTTTGCTGTGAAGAGACACCATGACCATGGCAACTCTTATAAAGCAAAGCACTTAATTGTGGTGGCTCATTTATATTTCAGAGGTTCAGTCCATTATTATCATGGTGGGACATGGTGACGTGTAGGCATACATGGTGCTGGGGAGTCCTACATCTCTTAGGCAACAAGAAATGGTTTGTAACACTGGGTTTAGCTTGAGCATATGAGTCCTCAAAGTCCCCACAGAGACACACTCCCTCCAACAAGGCCACACCTGCTAATAGTGCCAATCCCTTTGGGGGCCATTTCTTTCCTACCACCACAATGGTACTCATAAAACTTAAAAGGTGGTATAGAATTATGCTATAGGAAAGTCTTTATGTATGCTGGATCTTCAATCCCAGCATTCAGGAGGCAGAGGCAGGTGGATCTCTTCGAGCTCAAGACCAGCCTGGTTTACATAATGAGTTCCAGGACAGCCAAGGCTACACAGTGAGATCCTGTCTCTAACCAAGTTGAATATAATCTGATCCCACATTACCATTTCTGTTCCCTTGCAGGAGGCTTTGAATCTGTATGACATGTTCTACACACGCAACTGCTTACACCGCAGAGCTTATCAACATAAAATCAGCAACCTCATCGATATAATGTAAGAACGTCCATATTACCTCATTATAAAAGTTTTCATGATGCTTTTGCCACATTAGCATTCCTAGCTCAAGCTGCGCAGTCTAAAACAACTCCCTTAAAAGAAGACTAACATACAGTAAACTTAGGAGGAGGGAGAGGAGGGAAATGGATGCGATGGTCAGGTGGATGGAGAAAGAGGGGCTGGCTTAGGCTAGACATGAAGAGGTTGCCAGAATGGCTCAGGGTCCCTGTGCAGGAAGTTCATACAGCTATTATTCATGAAGGTAGTGAGACATGAATAGCTGACATTCTAAATTAAAAACAAAATTAACATTTATACTATTTTCTACCTTTATCCTGTCAAATGTTTTTCAAAGTTAGTAGCAAATAGGAATTTCATCTTTTTCCCTGATCAGATCAGAGCTATGGCCAAAAAGTATACAAAGTCTCCCCATGTCTCAGAGATCCCACAAGAAGTTTCCTTCTTTGTTTTTGAGACAGGATCTCATACTTACAGCCCTGACAGGTCTGGAACTCACTGTATAGCCCAGGTTGGCCTCAAATTCATGATTCTCTGGCTTCTGCCTCCCAGGTGCTGGGATCACAGCCATGAACCACCACATTTGGCTCCATAAGAGTCTTAACCTCAGTCAAAAGTTAGTGGTGTCGAACCCCTTTAATCCCACACTAGGAAGGCATAGGCAGGTGGATCTCTGTGAGTTCAAGGCCAGCCTGGTACATAGTTCCAGGACAGCTAGGGCTGTATAGAAAAACTCAGTCACACACACACACACAAACCAAACAAACAAAGACATAAAACTGAATATGAGAGCAGATGTCTTCGATGCCAGCACTTGGGAGGTAGAGATGAGTTCAAGGTCATTCTCAGGTATGTAGCATCTTTGAAGCTAGCCTGAGCTACATGAGACTGTGTTTCAAGAAAAGAACTAAAGTAATTTTGTTTCCAGTTCAGAGTCAGAGAGCCTTTGTTTCAAAGCTTGATATACTTCTTCTGAACTTCTTTAAAGGAAAATTATCTTATTTCTGTTTCTATAAAATTGGAGCTGAATATACTTAGTATTGAAAAACTAAATGAGATAAGGTCTGTAAAGCTCTACCACTAATAAACAGCTGTCTTGAAACATAATACCTCAAAATTTTGTTTTCTTAAACTAGAAAGATCCTTTTGAGCAAGGTGTAAAGCAAATCTTCAGATGACATTGTGTGTTTATAAAATGATCTTTAGGATCACAGAGGCCTTCCTTAAAGCAAACCCCTACATTGAGATTACGGGGACCAACGGGAAGAAGTGCAATATTTCTGAAGCCATTGATGACATGGAAGCCTTCACCAAGCTGACAGGTAAGAAGTCGGGGACACACGTGTTGGTATCAGATGTCAGCTGCCCTTGTGGGGATACAGAAGATAATGAGAAGCAAGTGCATACATGTGTGAAATTACAAAACAATACTACTTTTTTGACCTCAAATTCACAGAGATTCCCCTGCCTCTGCCTCCCAAGTGCTGGGATTAAAGGCATTCACCACCACTGCCCGGCTAGTTCTAGATTTTAAAAGTCTAAAAGTGTGTGGCCACTAATTTCATCCATATATTTGCTTGATTTCCCAATTACCAGTAATGAAAATCCTTAAGTTACATTATCAAGAGAAATAAGAAATTAAAAAAAAAAAAACTTAAATTTTTTGATGTGTTTATGTTTAAAAAGGTGTTCTTGTTCTTGGGAGGTAGATACTGTGATATCATAATGTTTCATCAGAAAATTACATATACCCAGACAGATACAGTGACTCACACTCAGGAGGATGAAGCAGGGGGATTACCACAATGTTGAGACCAACCTGAGTTATATAGTGAACTCAAACTCCCCTCAGAGTGAAACCTTCTCTGAAAAATAAAGAAAAGCATGAGCTAGATAGATGGCTCAGCAGTTAAGAGGACCTGGGTTCAAGTCCCAGCACCCACATGGCAGCTCACAACTGTCTGTAATTCCAGTTCCAGGGAACCTGACACCTCACACAGACATACATGCAGGCAAAACACCAATGCACATGAAATAAAATAAATAAATTATAAAAGAAAAAAAGAAAGAAAAACAAGAAATTTGTATACAAATAGAGTTCTTTTATGGAAAAAATGATAATAATGAATTTGGTTGAAGGCTATTTTAATTAGAAAATGTTTAAAGAAGAATAAAATAACAAACAAAAGAAGAAAGTTTCTTCCCTGCTGTTATCATCATAGAATGAAATACTTTAAAACTTAAAAAAAAAAAACTTTTAATAAGTCAATTTACAAAATTCCATGTTCTCGCCACTTAGCTTAGCTGTTATCAACAGCAATTTTTTCCACCTACCTCCTGCTGACAAACATTGGACTATTTTGAGATCAGAGACATAATTTTGTTTGTAAACGTTTAAGGCCATTTAGGGCTAATTAGCAAAACCATGTTTCATTTACAAAAATAAAAGCCCAACAGTAATAAGTAAGTCTCTTTGTACTGCCTGCCAGATCAAGCCATTGGTTTTAGTGCACTTAGTTAATCCCACACCCGGGAGGATTTTCCCACTTCTGCCTTGTCTTCTTTTCCTCTTACTGGCTTCTTTTTCCTTACTCACACAATCATAATGCTGTGCCTTGTTAAGACCATTTCAGGACCACAGTGGAGCATCTTTAAATCTTACTGTCATTTCAATTTGAGTGAATTTCATCACATTGACAGATAACATTTTCCTGGAGATTTTACACTCTACTGATCCGAGGTTGTCTGAGGCACGGACTATTTTAAGGAACATCGAGTGCCGTAATCTATACAAGTATTTGGGTGAGACCCAGCCAAATGGTCAAAACAAGATTAGAGAGGTAAGTTGAGTCATCACCTATCCTGTTAGCTGAGGGCTATCCCAGTCTCTGTACTCAATAAGAAGCCATTAGTTTATCAGAGTATCCATGCTTCCTGTGTATTCTCATTTAATCTTCTCACTATCCTTTGTCCTGTTTACCGGATGAGAAACAAAGGGGAAATCCCTTGAAATAAGACCTGTGTGAACTTCACTAAGACTCTATAGTTGACCCTTGAACAATGATGGTTAGGGGCACTTGACATAGAGCAGTTAAAAACTGACCTTTAAACCTTACCAACATCATAACTGTTAACTCCATGGCTTTTGTATGTTATTTGACTTATATGTGACCAAAAATACCTGAGGATGAGCTTGCTGCTGTATGCAGCTTCCTGGTGAGATGTGTGATGTCACAGGGGCCACTGGCAGCACAAGTCACTGCAAAAGCAGCAGGAGGTAGCTATGAGTAGATGGATGCCATATTCTTTTCAAAATGTGGTGGTAGTTCTATGTTTGTTTTTTAATGAAAACTACCCAGCCACCCAGTTTGCTTCCAGGCTATCATGTCTTGTTGGAGAATCTCTGTTTTTCTTACTGAAGAAGGAACATGACCATGGTACAAGTACTTAATGACAAACTGGGTCCTAACTGGAAAGTCTCATCTCTTCTAGGAAGAATATGATCAACTTCCCCAAGACATTGTTGACACCAAACCTGACGTGCCCCTGGAAGCCCAACTGAAGGCTGAAGATTTCCTAGTGGATGTAAGTTAGTGAATCCAAGAATAGATGAAGTGAAAATTTGTGTTTTTAAAAAAACCCAAAAGCTATCCCTCTGAGGGTGGTGGTGGCCTTTAATCCCAGCACTCAGGAGGCAGAGACAGGCAAATCTGTGAGTTCAAGGCCATTCTGGTCTATGTAGTAAGTTCCAGGGAAGCTAGAACTATGTAGAGAGACCCAATCTCAATAAACAAGCAAACAAAAAAAAAAAAAAACTTTCCTCATTATGAAAAGCTTAGATAGCTGGAGAGTAGGAGGCAGAAGAAACACACATTTGAGGCCAGCCTGGTCTACATATCGAGCTACAGGCTAGCCAGTACTACTTAGTGAGAACCTGTCTCAAAACAAACCAACAGAACAACAAAGAAGCTGGAGGGATAGCTCAGCAGTGAAGAACTTTCTGCTCTCTTCCAGAGGACCAGGAAGGTCAGTTGTCAGCACCCTTGTGAGGTGACTCAAAACCACCTATAACTCCAGTTCCAGGGTCCAATGTCCTCCTCCGATGCCTTCATGTGCACACACACTCACACACAGACACACGTTCATGCACTTAAGTTTAATAAATATGTATGCAAAAACAAAACAAAACTTGGAGACACAGAAAGTTAGAACAAAGAGAATCATCTTCAGCCTCAAAGAGAAAATCAGTCTTATCAGCCCTTTTCAAATTTTCTTTGCGATGTTCTGCTAGGATATTGAGATCATGTGATAAATAGCACATTATATATGTTTGTTTAAATTATTTTGACTATGAAAATACTACCATTAGATATTCTTGCTTGCCTACATATACACACAGAACTGTTAAGATTTTTTTATTCCTATTTTCACGTGGCCGTAGTGTCTTGGCATACCCTAATGAAAAGCCCTGTAGCCTTCTCGTGTTTTCTTAAATTCTCTGTAGGAAATTCTTTTTAGTGCTCCATCCCTCTGAAATCTGAGTGGTTTACCTTGTGATTTTACCTCAGCTTTTCCTTTCTCGTTTCCTTGGTGACTGATTCATGCAATGAAAAGTCATAACCATTCTTTGCCAAATACAATGAGTGGCCCAGGGGGCAAGGCTCTCCTGCATTTCCTGAGACTTGGAAAGATATCACTTCCCGGCATTCTCCCTGAGCACCTGTGAGCCAGTGTGCCCACTCCTGTTTCACCAGAAGGCCTCTCTTGTTCTGAGGGCTTGGGGCAATCCCTCACCCTGCTATTTGACTTCTCTCACCCAAAGAACCGTCTCCAAATGCATTTAGATCAGAGGTGCATGATGCTACCCAGAGCAGACATGAAAGCCAGCTTAACCAGCAATCACCTGAAGTCAGTGGGATGGGACAGTGGACTGGTTTACATCCACCCTACAAGGCAAAGAGCGCTATACCGTTCTGTGTTCATGAACCTACATGAAAACACAGAAGTGCGGATTAGCACAAAAGGGCAAATTCCAAGTTTATTCTGAAATTGTAATTGACGCATCAATTTTATCCTAGGAATTTGTTCTACAGAGATCATCTCTATGTCCAAACCAGCTGCTGTCTTCTGAAAGCTTTTGGCACTGTTCAATCCCCTCTGCTCTGGTTCCTACCGTTATCCTGAGTGACTTTATTTGCCCACCAGGAGAAACTCTTTGATCTCTTTTTCTTTTCTTTTCTTTTTTTTTAAGATTTATTTATTTTATATGCATTGGGGTTTTGCCTGCATGTCTTTCTGTCTGAGGAGGTCAGATCCCCATGGAACTGAATTAGATAGTTGTAAACTGCCATGTGGGTGCTGGGAATTGAACCTGGATCCTTTGGAAGAGCCCCTACTGTTCTTAACTGCTTAGCCATCTCTCCAGCCCCTCTTTATTTTTATCCTTAGTGTCTGTTTAATTGCTTTTCTCATTGATATGAGGAAATGTGACAAAGCAACTTAAGGCAGGATAGGTTTATTTTGTGTTGGTAGTTGGAGTTGATCTTGGTGGAGGGGATGGGGCAATAGGACTGTGAGGCAGCTGTGTTCACAGTAGGAAACAGGCCAGATTAGTGCTGGTCTTCAGCCCCTTCCTCCTCCTGCTTTATTCACTTCAGGACCCTGCCCATAGGATGCTGCTGTCCATATTTAGGGTAGGTGTTCCTTCCTCAGTTAACCCGTTCTGGAAACACTCTCACAGCTGTGCCCAGTTGTACGTCTGTTAGACAGTTCCAAATCCAGTCATGTGTATGAAAATTAACCATCACAAGCTGGGCAGTGGTGGTGAATGCCTTTAATTCCAACACTCAGGAGGCAGAAGCAGGTGGATCTCTTGAGTTTGAGGCCAGCCTAATCTGCAGAATGAGTTCTAGGACAGCCAAGACTACACAGAGAAACCATGTCTTGAAAAAAAACCAAACCAGGAAGTAGTGGCACACTCCTTTAATCCCAATACTTGGGAAAGGAGGGGAGGGGAGGAGAGCATACGGGAAGGAAGGAAGGAAGGAAGGAAGGAAGGAAGGAAGGAAGGAAGGAAGGAAGGAAGGAAGAAGAAAGAAGAAAGGCTAACCTTCTTGGTGATGTTACACAGATCCCCTCAGCTACCACTCCAGTAGATTATTATGCTTTGGACTTGAACTTGTGTGAGCCTTGCTCTGTAGCCCCGGCTGTCCTAGAACTCACAGTTTTCCTAATGGTGCTGAGGTTACAAGTGAGAGTCAACTTATCTGAGTGTACCTTGCACTTCATCAGCATTTGAAGCCACCCTATCTGAAATCACTAAAAAGCATCTTGTTTTCTGTCTGCAAAGCTCTTTTCCCTTCATTTGCTTGTCCCTAGTTCAGCTCATCTGGACACCATATTGCTCCTCACTTTCTTATAGCCTGTCCTACCTTTTTTTCTTTTTAGTCAAGCTTTGATTTTGTGGTCATTATTAATAATTCCATCATTTCTGCAGTTACCACCAACCCCTCACCTTTTGTATCTGTTTAGCAAAAGTCCAAATAACACAGGTGTGTTGATGCTAACCACCTCCCTACCTATATCTGGCCACACAAATCCTGTTAGAGACATCACTACATTGTGCATTCTTGGTCACCAACTTCATCTTGATCCTCAGTACTTTCTAGTAGGTCGAGTACAATTCTTCCAGGCTCCATAACAACTATGTCAAACCATCTTTACTCCACTCAGCCCTTCATCTCTGCTTATCAATCCTAGATATTCACCCTTGGTGAGTAGCCCAACATGGCCCCACGTTCAAATAATTAAAATAAAAGATACCTATAGGCCATTGCATAGGTACTCTTTCAAACTTCAGTTTTCTCCCATCTGTAGCTGTTTTTATCTTCCCTTAGAGTAGAGAAATATCTTTCTCCTAATTAAAGACTTAGCCAGGCTATGCATGGTGGCACATGCCTTTAATCCCAGCACTTGGAAGGCACTGGCAGGTGAGGCTTTGTGAGTTCAAAACCAGCCTGAACTACAGGACAAGTTCCAGGACAGCTAGGACTACACAGAGAAACTGTCTCAAAAAACCAAAGGTGGGAAAAAAGAGAGAGAGACTCAGGAGGGAGGCTCTTCTACTGTGTTTAGAACAGTAGTGCCCAGTGGAACTTCCTGAACTCACAGAAGGGCCTATATCTGTGCTGCCATTTTAAATATGATTCCTAAGACCAAGAAATGATTTTTTTTTTGTATTCTGTGTTAATTTAAATTTTAAGTTATTGCTGGATGTGGTGGTATGTTAATGTATTCCTAGCTACATGAGAGACCAAGATAGAAGGGTCACCTGAATTGAACAACATAGTGATATTTGCCTGATAAGTAAAAATAAAAAAAATAAACCATATATGGCTAGTGACCACCATGCTTGGCATTGCAGCTTTGGAGCCCATTGTGTGTTCATCTTTTCTGTAGAGCCCTACACTGCCCATTCTGTCCTTCTTCCTGCAGACTTCCCCATTAGCAACAGTTAAACAGTCTTCTCTCTGAAGAAAACCACCACACTACACTCATCTTGCTCCCTTTCCTCTCCTTCCCCGGCAAACTCATGGAAATGCCTTCCGAATTCTTAGTTTTTCTCCAGGTATATGTAAAAGTACCCCTTATCCAAAATCTGAAACCTGAAATATAAAAAGTTACAGAACTTAGAACTGAGAATTTGGCTCAGTGGTAGAGCTCTTACCTACCATTCTCTTATATTTTTGGTTGTGAGCCTAGTCTTTAATGGCTGAGCCATCTCTCCAGCCCGCCTACCATTCTCTAGGCCCTAAGTTCAGTCCCCAGCGCACACACACACACACACACACACACACACACACACACACACACACACACACGAGGGCATAGGGATACACGCTTATCAGGCCACAGCTAGGGAGGTAAAGACAACTGGATCCCTGGGGTTCATTGACCTACAACCCAAGTGACTTGGTGAGCTCCAAGCCAGTGAGGCCTGTCTCAGGGGGAAAGAATTGCATGGCACCTAAAGAATGACAGCCAAAGTTGACATCTGACCTCCTTTTGGACATATCCATAGACACAAAAGTTGATTATCTACTGTCTACCAGTGTCTGTCACATAGTAGATATTGCCCTACTTAGTTAAATACTCAAAAATATTTCCCCCTTCACCCAAGTTTCTAAACCAAATCCCCAAAATTAGTCATGTACCAGAGGTTTTTTGCGGGGGTGGCGGGATGGAAGGGTGATTTTTCTGTTTTGTTTTATTGTTGTTGTTTTGGTTGCTCTGTAGCCCTAACTGTCCTAGAACTAGCTCTGTACACCAGGCTGGCTTTAAACTCACAGAGATCCACCTGACTCTGCCTCCCAAGTGCTGGGATTAAAGGGGTGTGTCGCCGCCGCCGCCACCTGGTATACCAGAGTTATTTTTATTCCACATGTTAAAACTTCCTAATATTCCTACTTCTGAACACCCAGAAGGCTCAGCTCATTTCTTGTGTTATACTTACAATCCTGAGTTTAGTTCTTGTGGTTGCTTATTTATTTATTGTTTTAATTAAAAGGTTATCAACATGGATTATGGGATGAAAGACAAGAATCCAATTGACCATGTTCACTTCTATTGTAAAAATAACACGAAGCTTGCAGTCATGATCTCTAAAGATCAGGTAACTGGCTAAGTAGAAAATGCTACTCTAAGGTATATATTTGGTAAATCTTAAAGTCAACTTGTATTTTTACATGCTAGTTAGGTTGTAATGTCAGTGTCTACTGTTAAGAAATAAAAGAAGGCACAGTCCACTGAATCAGCTAAGCAAGGACTCACAGAGACTGAAGCAGCAGCCACAGGGCCTGCGGGAATGTGCTGCTGGTCGTCTGCCTATATGTCATGGCTGTTGGCTTGGTCTTTTTGTGGGAGTGGGTACATCTCTGACTCTTGCCTGCTCTTGAGACCCTCTTCCTCCTGTTGGGTTTTCTTGTCCAGCCTTGGTGTGAGGGCTTTTGCCTTGTTTTATTGTGTTTTATTTTGTCATGTTTAGTTGCTGTCTCTTTGAGTCTTGCTCTTTTCTGATGGGAAATGGTGGGGGTGTAGATCCAGGAGAAAGGGGAGGTTGGGGAAGCTGGGAAGACTGGAAGGAGGAGAAACTGTGGTCAGGATGTAGTGTATGAGAGAAAAATCTATTTTCAATTAAAAATAATTATTTTCCCCCTTGGATCATAATTGAGATAAAATAGAAAAGCTTTTAACTCAACATTAAAAGTGGTACCCCAGACCCTGGGAGGCAGCTGGTTCCTGGAAGTGTGAACTCAAGCAAGATCTTTTCTTTTTGTAAAAAAGGTGTCAAAGCTTCTGCCACAGGAATTCACAGAGCAGCTCATTCGAGTGTACTGTAAGAAGAAAGACAAGAAGAGCCTGCATGCTGCTAGGCAACATTTCACTCAATGGTGTGCAGACAGAAACTTCACCAAGCCGCAGGTGGGTGATGCTGCTAGGCAACATTTCACTCAATGGTGGGCAGACAGACTTCACCAAGCCGCAGGTGGATGATGCTGCTAGGCAACATTTTACTCAATGGTGTGCAGACAGACTTCACCAGGCTGCAGGTGGATGATGCTGCTAGGCTACATTTCACTCAATGGTGTGCAGACAGACTTCACCAGGCTGCAGGTGGATGATGCTGCTAGGCAACATTTCACTCAATGATGTGCAGGTAGACTTCACCAGGCCGCAGGTGGATGATGCTGCTAGGCAACATTTCACTCAATGGTGTGCAGACAGACTTCACCAGGCTGCAGGTGGATGACTCTTCACAGCCTCTAACATTAAGAGAAAGGAATCTTGGAGTTGGGGTGAGATGGGGTCCTATGTAGGTCAGGTTGGTCTCAGATTAGCTGTGTGCCTGGGAATGGCTTTGAATTCCTGATCCTCTGCTTCACCTCCCAATATTTATTTATTTATTTATTTTTAAGGAAAAGCCAAAGCCAATCATTTTTATCACTGAGAAGTTCTCATTTAAATTGTAGCTATATGGGGCTGGAGAGATGGCTCAGCAGTTAACAGCACTGGCTACTCTTTCAGAAGACCTGGGCTCAATTCCCAGCACCCACACGGCGGATCACAGCCAGCTGTAACTCCAGTTCCAGAGGATCTGATGCCCTCTTCTGGTCTCTGTGGGTTCCAGACGTGCAAGTGTGGCATAGACATGCATGCTTCCACATGTGCCTGCATAGTCAGAATCACCTGTACACGCACAATACACGTGCATACATATACATATACATAACATACATACTCACCACACATATACACACGCATTACACACTCCAACCACATATTCCTCATACATATACACAATACATATACATCACACACAACCCACATGCACCACACACATACATACACACATACCTCACATATATACCACATACATTCCTACAATACACATATACACCACACACACCATATGCATACACATAATTTTTTTTTTGTTTTAAGGAAAATAAAAACATCAGCATAAGTGATAAGTACTTTAAACCTAGGTATATTAACTCATCAGATGAGTTTGCTTGGTTTGTTTCTTGTCGGCCCTGACTTAGGTACAAGGATGAAGCAGTACCTAAGACAGACATAGTTCTTCAGTGCTCTGGGTCTCTAGATGTGGACCACAAACAAGAAAGTAAACAGCAATTGTGAAGCATAGTGAATGTTTGGGGATGCAGAAGGAGATCTAGTCAGACTTGGTTAGATGAGAAAAGCCTGCCTCAGGAAAGTTTGCAAGCCAACTCCTAAAGAAGGAGAAAACTCAGGGGTTCTTTACAGGGCTGGCAGCAGGGACTGGTGTTTGGGGGGGGGGGGTTGAAACAGAAGCAACATGGGAATAGCTGAAAAGGTAACAAAGAACACGAGGCCTATCAGGAGCAGCGCTGAGTGAGATGTCTTTGCCATGCCATATGCAAGGGCCAGCCTGGAGCCACTGAATTGGAGTGAGTGAAATCTTTTAGGTGTGCATTTTTAACATTTGCTAGAGTTGAAGTCAGAAGGAAGGTGATGGAAATAGGAGTCTGGCATACTGCTGCTTTGAAATGAACAGGAGTTGCTCACAAAAGCTCTGTCAAGCCAGATCCAGTGTGTTCAACAGAAGACATTTAACATCAGGATATTTCCAAGGTTTTGACAGAACTAAATGAACAAATGGCAGACAGAGAGACAGTGCCTAGACTATGTCACTGCCTTCTCAGAGAGGCTGAGGGAGCAGGTGGGAGGTTAAAAGCTGTGGCTCCTTCCAGGAGCTGGAGCCATACGATGGTAAGGGCCGCAGGAGATGCCTAGGCTTCCCTGCCTTCCTCACCTCACCTGAGAAGTCACTAAGCATGAGGGCTGAGAAAAGCAGCTGCTGTGTTTTGAGTGGACCATGAAGAGGTGATAAGTACCTGAGAGCAAATGGGCAAAGGGCCTTGTCCCAGGAGGCAGGCAGGGTTAGAGAGCCTAGCTACTCATGCTCACTCCTGTCAGGTCACTGTTTAATCTGAGGCAGCCTCCCCCTGTGGTGGAAGGGTGCATTTGCCTGGAGCGTTTGTTGATAGGGCTGAAGTTAAGAGGTTTATTTAAAAAGAAAGATTCAAATTCAGCAAGTAGTCATGGTCCCAATGTCCCAGTAGTCATTTGTCCCCATGCTCCCTGTCCCCCTGTCCTCCCCCATTTGCAGACCTTTAGAGGAGAATGGGAAAAAGAGAAGCAAGAATCCAGTGTTGCTTCTGTTTCCCCAAGAGTCCCACGTAGGTGCGTGAACTCAGCCAATTCTGGGCAGCAGTGTGCTGTATCTCGGCCATTTTCCTTGAAGACCTTTATCTGCTTAGGACTGTGGTGTTCTCAGTCATAGAGCACATACAACTTTGAATTTCTCAAGAAATCTGTGTGCAGGACAAGGATATGTGTGCATGAGACACACCCAAAATATAATGATGGAAACTGGCTTTTCTCTGTGCCCTGACTCACTCTCTTTCTTTAATAGGATGGTGACATCATAGCTCCACTCATAACACCTCTGAAATGGCAGAAAGATGTTCCAAGTAACCACCAAGAAGCATCCAAAGCCAAAGCACACCTAAAGTTTTAAGTGAATGCCTGCATTTGATTCTTTATGAAAACCTTTTCACTCTTAAGTTAGGAAATATAATCAGAGTCCACTAGTGGTTTTTATTTAGTATTTTGAATGTACACACATGATAAAGGGTAAGTCATTTTTATTCAAAATGGAAAATGGTAATAGTAGCAAAAGTTTGCTATGCTTACTTACTGTGGAGTTTGAATGAGAATGGCCCTGTATGCTCATGTATTTGAATGCTCAGTCACTAGGGAGTGGCATTGTCTGAGAGGATTACAAGGATCAGGAGGTGTGACCTTATTGGAGGAAGTGTGTCACTGGGGGTGGCCTTTGAGGTCCCAAGGGTCCCTTTGAGGACCCTTGCCAGGTCCAGTCTCTCTTTCTCCGTTTGTGGGTCAGGATGTAGCTCTCAGCTACTGCTCCAACACCATGCTCCCCACTGCAATGATAGTGGACTAAGCCTCTAAAGCTGTAAGCAAGCCCCCAATTAACTGCTTTCTTTTATAAGCATTGCCGTGGTCATGGCATCTCTTGACCACAATAGAACATTGACTAAGACACATGCTATGAAAAGTATGAGCTTGTGCATTTTTAACATTAATTGAAGCCTTTCTCCTTTAGCAATCTATTTTTTCCAGGGTAACTCCCATTTCTTCTAAATGCTTAGGACAAATCATTGTCTTTTGTTTTTAATTTAGAACTTGAGACAAGAGCACAAATTGGAATTCAAAGTTGATATTGTCATATACCACATGGTTAAAAAATAAAAGTCCTAGCCCCCCTGAAGAGATGCCCCTTACCCTGCCTCTCCCAGGAGAGAAAGCCACCAACCCCCTCCATCCCTGTTAGTGCCAGGCTGGGGAAACATCAAGGGGCAGCTCCTTGCTGGGAGGAGTTGAGGTGTGCCAAGGCAAGTCTACCACTGTCCCGCAGCTCCACCCCTGTCTCCTAGTTTAACCCTTCTGCCCCTGCTGTAGGAGGTGCTAGGGTCAGTGGGTCACACCAGGCTGCTCTCTGAATCAGCTGTAGCTTCAGACAAGCTCGGCTTCTTTGCACCTGAAACCCATTCCAGTCCCAAGGGACACACCACTGCCAGCCTGGGGACAGATCTTCCTCCACCTTTTTGGAGTTGGACTGGTCAGAGAACACCGAAGACCCCGTCCTGACTGCTCCCGCCTGGGATTTCACCACCACTACTTCATTGTGTGTACAGGTTTCAGAATATTCTGGACTGCATTTGTGAGCCTAGCGGCCATCCGGTGGGCCCCAGGTTCCCCCATGTAGCCTGCTGTTCTTGCAGAACAGCACCATCATGGTTGAGCAGTCACCCATGCTGCTCCCCTCACCCACACTGTGCACAGCTTCACCAAGAACCAAGCCTAGTTGGAGCCAAAGGGGGTAGTAACCAGAAGTGCTGGAGACGTGGGCTGTGGGGACAGAGGCAGCAGCTGCAGGTGACATCTTAGTGATGATGCTCCCCTAAGTGAGGTGGCAGTCATGTCAGGGCTCAGCTTGAATATACTGAGGTTGCCTGTAACACCTCTCTATGTTCTACTTTGTCCACGAGTGAGTAAAAGAGTGCTTGGTGTGTCTGCCTCCATGGGCTCATAAATGCACAAGGGAGGTGCTAGCTTGCCCCTGTAAGCCACGTGCCTCTATAACATTCAGGGAAATGGCCAGAGGTTGCACCTTTATATGCCCAACCTCAATGTTAAGAATTGTCTATTTTTCTGCTACTATTGCTTTATTTTTGCCAGTCTTGTTTTTTTAAGTTTTTGTGGTTTACTCTGGAACTTTGTAGTCCTAATTTTGTGCTGTGGTATCTGGGGAAACAACTCTGATCCCTTTTATGCACAAGACAGCTGCATTTTATGCCTTTGAAGCGTTTTCTCATTGTGAGTACCTGTATTGTTTACAAGACTGAATAAAAATGGAGATTTTTAACAGTTTGGCCTCTAAGTCACTGAACCGTGTCAGGTTGAGTGATGGTGACGTCAGCTGGGGGATGGAATCAGCCGCAATACAGCTGACGAGAATGTACTTCTGTCAGAGGTATGCTCCTTAATTAATATCTCCTCACACCCTGTGTGCCTGGTTTGGATTCCTGTGCAAAGGGATGTGTTTTCTATAGGATTCATGGAGGTGCTTCATGGTGTCACAACACTGTTGGGTCTGCAAGGCATTGGTATTGATAGAGTTGGCTCCCTTCCAGCAGGAGGCAGACTTTACTTGGGGTGGATGATGGAGTCTTAGTTCACAAGGCTCTTGTGCCTGAAAATGAAGTCTTTCCTGTCTGAAGCCCCTGGGGTCTGCAAAGGTTCGGCGTCTTTGCCCAAATATACATGTTGTTGATATGTAGCTTTTCTGTCTTTCTGGTGAAATCAAGTAACAGATGTGTGAGCACCCAACTCCACTCGTTGGCTTCTAGAAGAGACAGCAAGGCAAGGAGTGAAATGATGCTTCTACTCTTTATTAGTTTCTAGTAGCTGAGCCCAGGCTTCTGTGGTTGACAGCATTCTTCAAGTAAAAGTAATCTCTAAAACATATAAAATAGAAGTGTGTGCGTGTGCACGTGTGTGCTTGTATACACACCCGACTTGTTTGGAAGGATAGAAATGTTATGTTATTAATGTTTGTATGGGTTTTTTGGTTTGTTTTTTATTTCAGGTTTTGTTTGTTTGTTTTGTTTCTCGGTCTTCTGAGTTCTCTGGGAATTGTCAAATCCTACAAGACAAATGTCATGCTTCTTCAGTAAGAATGTCTTTCACACCTTCACAGTTAGCTCTGCTGGAGAACAGTTGCTGACCCTGACCCTGTCCTGTGTTTTCAAGCCACCCTCCACATGAGGGTTTGTCACCATCCTGAGTCAGGCAGAATGGCCGCCCTGTGTGAGGAAGGCCTGGGCAGCATCCAAAAGTGACCCAAGCATCTCTGGTTGTGTGAGGTGTCAGCTCAGAACCCAGGCCTCCAGCTCCTCGATACAAAATTGTTCTTTCCGGGCCAGCACTTCATTATTGAAGGTAGCACAGGGGTAGCTTCCCCCGTGGTACAAGTCTCCATCCAACCACAGCCCGAACCGGCCACTAAAGAGAAGATGAAATGGGCAGTAGAGATGGCTCAGTTGGTACAGTGTCTGCTACGCAAGCATGAGGACCTGCCCTCGGCACCAACATAAAAAGCCAGGCAGGGGCTGGAGAAATGGCTCAGTGGTTAAGAGCACTGGCTGTTCTCCCAGAGGCCCTGGGTTCAATTCCCAGCACCCACATGGCAGCTCACAGCTGTCTGTAACTCCAGTTCCAGAGGACCTGATACCTTCACACACATAAGATAAAGTTAAAAAAAAAAAGGCAGGGTCACTTATCCACTTTCCATCTGCAACCCCAGCACAGAGAAAGCAAAAACAGGTAGGCTACAGAGCTTTCTGGCCAGCCAGTCCAGCTAGTCAGTGAGAGATCTCCAAAGATATGGTGAAGATGGGCTGTGGAACACATCCAATGTCAACTTCAGCCCCCCCAACACACACACACACACAGAGACACACACCAGAAAAGGAAGTCTTGGCACAGTTGTAGCATGTGGTAGTACTGTGGGTCTGACCCCATCATGGCCTTAGCCACATTACCATTGTATCTCCATCATAGTTCTCATTCTTACACCAGTTTATCCAGGGTTAGAGTCTCCTCTCATGGTGTTCTATGACATCCGGAGCATTTTTTAAACAATCCATTGGCTTTAATAACTATGTAGACAGTGGTGCAGCCATCACCTCAACCCTGTTTGGGGACATTCGGATCCTCATGTTTGACAGAAAACCTAGCCTGGAAGCATGGAGTGGCTGGTGTGCCCTGTGCCCTGCTGTCTCCTTGGAGCTGTGCTGATTTAGGAATGCTTTAGTTCAGGTACAACTTAATGTGCTTCAGTGTGGAGGTCAGACTAAGATGACACTAGCCAGTTGGTCCACTCTCCTCACTTGACTTAGAGGAGGTTTGGTTGAGTGTGGTCCTCTGGGGACTCAGCCTGTCCCTTCTACCTGCAGTACCCTTAGGACATGGGGGGACAGAGACACACCTTTCGCTGCCCATCATCAGTGAGTCCAGGTCTCCTTTCACGAAGAAAGAGTTACTTCCTGTCCACTTAAAGACCTGGTAAAAAGAAAGGCTGGGTTACTTTTGGGAGTTGTCCTTGCAGTCTGACTCCAAGCCACATGGTGGCAGTGTTGTGCAGGGACTGGAAGATTTTCCTTGAAATCCACCCCTACGCCCTCTGCCTTGAATTCCCTACATCCTATCAGCACCTTCATGCTAGCAGTAAAACAAAACCTCTGAGACTTCCTGCTTTCAAACATGGAAAGAGAAAAAAGACCAGGCCTGGAGTTGGGATGGAATTGCCTCCCAGCCAACCATCCCACGACGTGCAGGCCAGTAAGACTCACTACGACGTACTATGACTTCTCTCTCCTACCATCTTGGGCATAGCCTCCTGCTTTTCTTGTCTCCCTCCGTATACTGCCCACAGCCCTCTCCATAGTTACCTGAATGGCCCATCCCAACCCTAAATCACACTGTAAGTCTTCTAAAGCCCTCTGACGCTCCCCACTGTGAAGGAGACAGAATCCAACGCTCTAGCCAGAGTGTACCTGCAGCCATCCTTTTATTTGACACCATCTCTAACTCTTACAGACTGCATCTGAGCCACACTGACCTTTCTGTTCAGGGCCTTCCTATCCTCAGACTCCTCTGCCACAGCTCCCCATCACCCCGTCCTCAAGAGTCGCTTCTTACCCTACAGCCTGAGTGTCATTACAGACAGCCCCTGTTTGATTTTCCTAAGCATCTACCCCCACCCCCGAGACAGCCCCATTCCTATAGCAATGCCTTGCCTCTATCTACTCCACTACAATCTAAATTCCAGGAGAACTGCCCAGGTGCCCTGCTAGACAGATGAAATAAAAGAGTGAATATTCGAGAGCCAAATTAGGTAATTAAAGGGCCACAAAAGTAAAATATGATGTTTCCTCTAATTAGGTGCCACAAATGCTAAGAGCAACACACACACACACACACACACACACACACACACACACACACACCCTGAGGAATAGAAAGATAAAGGACCATGCTAAGAAGGGGTAAGATAAAGTGAACAACTGACCACATGAAGACAGATGAGATCGCCAACACTATCGCACTTCTCTGCTTTCTCCAAGGACATGCCCTTCCAACTTAAAAGAGCAAGATAAACATTGCTACAGAAGAAACCAAGACAAAGTTCTTCCTGTAATAATTTTGTTTTTAGCACTTACACACCAGGCACAGTTAGGCACTGGGTAGACTAGTAGACATAATGACCAAACCTTTGCCTCATACAACACTTCAGGAGGAGACCATACAGAAATAAGAGAAATGGCATGTTAGAAATGCTATCAAGAGAAGTGACATGCAGAGAAGCGATAAAGTTTTCAGGGAATGGTCATTTAAAATAAAGTACTCAGTCCCGGCAATGGCCACAGTAAGGCAGTCCTGATGATTCTGTGGAAGGGCGTACTGAGTAGAATAGCCCATGCAAAGGCTCCAAGGCAGGGGTGGGCCTGTATATTTGCCTTCCAGCTTAGGCCAGCATCGCTGAGGCAAAGTGATGGGAAAAATACATAACCAATATTAGAAAGATGTGGGAAAGAGCCATCAGATGTGGATAGCATGAGAAGATCCACAGAGGAAGCAAGGGTGGTCATCAAAGATAACCAAATCCCCCGCTCCGATGATAGGAACTATCAAGGGGCTCCAACAGGAACTGTGGTACAAGAAGAATATCCTAGAGCTTTGGGGTTTTAGTGACAGCTGTAGGAAGGAAGGTATGGATGATCAGCCCACAGTCTTGGTGATCCTGCATAACTGACCCCTTTGCCTCTCTCCCAAGAAGGGAAGGTGGCTTACAGCTGATAGAGGCTGTACAACAGATCGGGTGGGTATTTTTGTCATTAGTAAGGCTGTCCACACCCCTGTGACAGTCTTGTTGGCAGACTAGATGACCGTGTGGCAGTGTATTTGGGGGTGTCTGTACATCGAAGGGGAGGCCTAATAGCAAACAAAAGGCATCCACAACTTTTTCTCCATCCATCAAACAAAGCATGAATAAATAGTTCTCAAAGACACACTAAACAAATACATGTTCCTCACACACTGACCCTGTCCACCTTTCTGGTTCCTACATTTGTGTTTCCTACATGTGCACCCACCCACACCCACACCTACTCTCTTCCCCCTGCCTGAATTCAGACTCTGGGGCTGGGTTCCACATCTCCCTTCACCACTGACTGCGTTAGGCATGTTACCCAACCTCTCTGTGCCTCTGTTCCCTCATCTGTAAGATGGGGCAATAACAGCATACACATGGAGTTTTTTCCTCCTGAGACAGTATTTCTCCATGTATCCTTTGCTGTCCTGGAACTCACTGTGTAGACTAGGCTGTCCTTGAACTCACAGAGATCCACCTGCCTCTGCCTCCTGAGTGCTGGGATTAAAGGTGTGCACTGCCATCCACCACCCAGCCATCTGTGACAGTTTTTTTAATGACTGAATGTGCCATTTTGTGGGGTAGTAAATGTGAACCTATGAGTTCGTGTCTATTGCTGGTAAAAGTTGAATGTTCTCTGCCTGCCGCACAGCACTTGGAAGCTTCAGTAAGCCCAAAGATCAAAAATGTTTATACATAAGGTGTTTGGGACTCTCTGTCTCCTGCCTTCAGAAGCCTCAGCTCTTCAGCAGCTTGTGCCCTGAGGTTCCAGTTCCCTGTGCCTGTCACTCACTCACAATATGAGCACTGAATCGCTCTCCCGATTCTTTCCCAGTGTCTCCTCAGCCCCTTTCCTCCTCATTAGCAGTCTCCAGCCACTGTCTTTGTGGTCACATCAGGCACGTGTCCTTAGCAAGGAGTGCGAGGAGCCCCTCCAGTTCATTTCAAATGTCCCTCTCCATCTACCCACTCCTTCCTGTTGTCCCACACATTGTTCAGCTGCTGTCACTCCTCCAAGTATTTGACCTCAAGGAGACCCCTCCTCTGTGGCTCTACCTTTGTTCACCCTTCATTCCCTCTGGCTTCGCTGGCCTCCAGCCCACTCTAGGCTCTGTGGTTCATTTGGTATTTTCACTCCATCCTACCCCTTTCCCATTGTTTCCTGTGAATGGGGCCTGCCAAGAGCTGGGTCTGAGAACACTGGCTGCTCTGGTACAAGCCTGGCCAAGGGAGAGCCTTATTCTTCTGAGGAAAGGTCAGAGCAGAGATGGCCTCTTCTCACCACTACCGGACTGGCATTCTCTCTGGGGCTGTCCTTCTCACACACAGGGACTATGTGACTCCTCTCCTCCAGCCTGCATGTATGTACCTCAGAAGTCGCTGGATGCTTCCTCCTCCTCCCACACCTCAGGTCTACCTGCACTCGAACTCATCTTGTCTTTTCACCCTGTGCAGAGCAGTGTGCCTCCTCGCTCAGTCAGCTCATGCTTTCTGGAGGGCTTGATGGGCAGCAGAGGGCACTTCTGTGCCCACCATTGCCCTGTGGAGAAGGAGACAGGAGGCAGGCCAGCATGGGGACGGAAGCTGGGAGCCATTAGGATCCCCAGAGCTGTGAGCTGTCATGGCTCTCCTCTGTGACAGAAGGTGGGAAGCTCACCTTTAGCTGTGGGGAGAAGGAGAAGAGGAATGTCTCTCCAGTACCATAGAAGCCTTTGCTGAGTCGGAAAGCTGAGGAGGAGAAGGCTCCAAACATCTGGAAAGCAGAGGAAAGTGCAAGAAAGGATCGATGAGTCCACCAGCTGCCTTCACCAGGCTTGGAGATGCACTCAGCCTCCAGGACTCCCAGGGAGCCGGGAGCAAAGCTGGGATAGGGTGTTTCCAAGGCCACCAGCCTGCCCTCTTTCCCACACTCCACAGGAAGAAGCCTTGCTAGCTGCCTTCCCTGAATTGTCCTGACTCTCTCTTTCCTCTCTCTCCGTGTGGGTGTTGGTGTCTGTCTGTCTGTCTATCATCTCTTTCCCTTTTCAGGGTCCTGCTGGGTAACCAAGGCTAACCCAGGACTTAACTCCATGAGAACCTTTACAGGCATGGCCATGTCCAGCTTACCTTTTCTTAAACATACAGTGTGTTTGTGTCGTATGAATGTGAATATATTCATGTGTGTGTGTGTGTGTGTACACTACACACACACACACACACACACACACACACACACACACACACGTTTCCATGCATACAGAAGCCAGAGGCCAATATGGACTATCTTCCTCTATTGCCTTCCATGTTATTTTGTGAGATAGGCTCTCACTGAGCCTGGAACTGACCAGTGAGACTGTCTGGCCAGCAAGCTCCAGGCTCCTCCTGTGTCTGCCTCCCAGTGCTGGGGTTATAGGCATATCCTTCCACACACACCTTTTTTTCACATGGCTGCTGAGAATTGAACTCAGGTCTTCATGCTTGCCTGGCAAATACTTTACTGACAGAAACTATCACCTCAGCCCCCAAATATGGTTACTTCATATAAGTACTGCTTCTAGGAGAGCTGGCAATCATACGCAAGTGGAAAGTAAACAAAATAAGCCATAGTCAAATCCCCCTTCTTCCTCCCCCAGAGGACTTCTGTCACTTCCTCCTGGTACCTGTCCAATGCAGTGCACAGACTTTCCTACACAGTGACATCCCACACACAAACTGTTCCCTCTCAACTTTCTGCACCAACTTCAAATGTATAGAAGAGCGCAGGGCTGGGGGTGTAGCTCAGTTGGGAGAGTGCCTGCCTGGCATGTGCATAGGCAATCCCAGTACCATCAAAAAAATGACTTCTTAAAGTTCAAAACAAATACAGATTCTTTCTAAGACCCAACAAGGAGTTTGCTATAGTTCCCATACTAGCTTCTTCTCCATCTTCTCTCAGACCCACTTAACTACTATGACCCCATAGTCCTTAATACACCAGCTCCCAAGAAAGGGGCTTACTCTTATATAACCCCCAGAGCTGGTATCACACCTAAGAGAACTAACAATAAATCCTGGTATTATCTATTTGTGTCATTGTGTATTCAGTTGGCCCAGATCATCTCAAGAATCTTGCATCCTGCTTTAAAGAGAAAACAAGTTTGATAGCATGGTTCTGCATCTTGCTTCTCATCTGCCTGCTATTTGTCTGATGGACATAGCCATTTTCCTTCTGTGGGATAGCTTCTGGGGTTGGGGTGTGGATCATCACAGTGCTGCGTGGGGTGCAGGATTTAAGCCTAATGCTTGGAGAAAACTTTTCATAATACACAGTGCTCTGCCATGAAGGGGCTCCATCTGAACAGGATTAAGTTTCTTGGCTCTCAAGCACGAAGTCTTCTCAGAAAGATTCCTGTCTATGTGGGGGACCCTTGACATCTCTTCCAACTCTGGTATGTTTCTTCTGTAGAGGAGCATTTGAAACCAGCTCTCAGTCCCTCCCACTTTCTGCATGGAGAACCTTCCAGAAACTCTATTGTTGGTGATCACGTGGACTTCAAGTAGAACTGTCAAAAGTTTTTCTTGTGACATTTAGCCTTGTCTGTCTTCTCTGACTTTCTCTAATCCATTCTTCCCTACCAGCTGGGGAATATTTGCAAAATAAGCATCCATCATTTCGATATAGATTGCCTGCTTGACTTTTGTAAGAGCCAGAGGTGGTGACATCTGCTTGTACTTAGTACTGGGAAGACTGAGGCAGGATGATCTGGAGTTTTAAGGTCAGCATAGGCTACATATAGGGTTCTGGGCCAGTTTGTACTTTAGTGAGTGAGACCCTGTCCCAGAATAAATCAACACATCCATGGTCTTGTGTTTGCAAACATAAGGATGCAGTTTTGCATGGCCTCAGTGGTTAGCTGCTCAATGCCCTACCACCACATATACACAAAAGAGACAGACCATTAACTCCAAACATGCTGGATCATTTCTGACTTGATTCCATTCTTCTCCATATCACCTACCCTGGCACGCAGAAGTGGCTTCAGATACAAGAGTGAGCAAATGAGGGCCTGGCTCCAAGTCAGACAGGTCTCAGTGCCACCATCAGTATACCTTACAGATGATGTAATCTGTCATCTCTGCTTTCTTGCATCTCACTCTGCCCTGGGAAGTATCCACTGGTCTGGTTGGGAGACCCTGCTCCCTGGCCCAACTCACCTGCCCATCCTGGTCTTTCAACAGCAGCAGTACTGGCCCACTGTGACCCTCCATCTGCCGGTATAGTCTCCGCAGACTGAAGCCGTCCCTAGATGTGCAGAAGAGCAGACTCCAGGGGTGGCCAGCGACTCTGGCAGGTAGGTGGAGGCTGAGCTGGAGGCAGAGCTAGAGCTGAGTGAAGGGATTGCCTCCATCTTCCCTCCTCCCACCACTCAGCTTTTTACTCTGTCCACAGGCTTCGTGCCCATTGGCTATAGCCTTTGGAGCTAGTTTTTGTTTCCATTTTACAGATGAGAAAACCAAGGTTCAGAGAGATGAAGAATAGAGGGCAGAGCCAGGATTCCAACCCAGGGCAGATCTCTGGGAACTCGCCTTGGTCACTGCTCCTTACAGGATACATGAGAAGCTAATCCCTTCCTCCTGGTACTCCTTTATGCGTCTGCCTCACCCCAGCTCTGGCTTTAGCCCCCAGGATCTATGTCACCCTTTCTGCATTCCCCAGCTCTACCCAGTGAGAAGGGTGGCACTAGTGTGCCTAGGGATGACAAGAAAGCCCAGGGAGAAAGCATGATTGATTCAAGATGGCACTGAGCCGGAGACATTGCAGCTCTGACCCCAGCACCCCAGGTATGTCTGGTATAGGGAAGAGGTTCAGGGCTGAAGTCCTACTACATAGAATGTGCCCGAACCTGCCTAATCTCTGAGGTACCCAGGACCTGGCTGGCTTCTGTCAGCTGAGGCTCCACAGGGTCCTGAGGGGCTGGGGCTGTGACTGCCTCTTCCTCTTCCTCCTCTTCTTCCTCTCCCTCCTCCCCAGACAGGGTGTCCTCCACCTGGGTGGGCTGTGAAGATACAAAAAAGCTTGGTAGATTGAAGGACACAGGGGCACGAGCTATCACCATATCCTGAGCTCAAAAGCTAGGGCCACCTTGGCCCCTGCTCAGGCCCCTGCAAGCCCAGTCCAGCCCAGTGGAACTAGGAAGCCCCCACCTCGAACAAGACTGTCCCTACCTTGAATCTGTGTCCTCCCGGGTGGCTGGCTACTGCTAGCAAAGGAAGGGGGTGGGCAAAGGCCCACACAGTGCCGCTCAGATGGGCACCGTCACCTGTTGCCAGTTTGCTCTAGCCCCAGCTTAAGCACCAGGCTCCAAGCTATAAGCCTGGAAGAGGGCAGAAGGGCAGGTAGGAGTCTAGTTCTGCTGTAGTGAACAATACTGAGAGATGGCTTAGAGGTTAAGAGCACTGACTGCTCTTCCAGAGTTCAATTCCCAGCAACCACATGGTAGCTCACAAACCATCTATAATGGGATCTGGTGCCCTCTTCTGGTCTGCACTGTATACATAATAAATAAATACATTAAAACCAATACTGATCACAAGAATGGCTGATGTTGGCATGGTCACAGAACCATGTTATGTGATGAGCCTGCTCTGAATGGTCTTTGAATTCTCCCTGTGTCCTGAGAAGGTACCACTGATTTCTCCATCATACAGGAGAGCTCCAAGCTTATTTCAGTCAGCCAGGAGACGAGTGCAGTCACACCTAGCTCCCTGGAGAGTTGCATGTTGCTTGAAATAGAGGTGTGTGGGGGCAGGTTGGTGAGAGCAGTGTACAGGGCAGATTGGTAGGTTGACTGTCAGTCTGTTTTGAGGGTGAGCTGGGGTTATAGGCATAAGTGTGGGTACCAGTGGGCACAGATGCTAGTGTAGTCATTCTCACGCACTTAACTGAGCTTCCAAACTCTACCGTGGTGTGTTTGAGTGAGTGTGTTCACACATGTGAACAGACCTGTACACAATAACATAAGGCTCATCATAGAAGGAGACACCCATCTGTGAAGAAATGCCCATGCCCAATACCTCCTCCCAATGCCTTACCTCCTCCATTGCTCAGGGACAGACCTGGAGGGATTCTCACTATGCAATACTCCCCCCAAAAGGGACAGCAACAGTAGTCTATCCTCTTTGTATGTGGGGGGCATGTCTCAGGACCAGCCATTGCTAGACTTGAGAGGGGTAAATAAGACACACACGTACATACATACACACCCCTCCACCCTAGCCCGTGACCCTCCCAAGTGAACTCACAGCCTGTGCCGAGTCCTTACCAGCTGAGTATAACGCCATCTTCGGCCTTTCATTCTCCTGTCACAGCCCAGGAAGGGGGACAGTCCTTGGCCCTGCCGCAGGAAGTGCTGCAAAGCAAAGCCAGCAATAAGGAGGTGCCCGGGCACTCCCCACTGGCTCCGTGCCTACCCAGCTGCCCTTTGCTCCCTCTCACCTGTGATCCCCAGGCCAAGTGGTCACTGGGTGGGTGTGTGAGCCACTTGACATTCAAAGCCTTGGGGAGGGGGCACTTATCATCTACCACGTTAGCCGTGTACAGTAAATTCCGGCTGTCCACTTCAGTTTCTTCTCTAGCAGTGTTGCCTAGACACATTGACTCTTCTGTAGGATACCTAAGGTCCAGGCTAGGGATCCAGGACCCCTGCTTCATGAAGAACTAAAAATGAAGTCATTTGCACCCCAGGCCTCAATTTCCCAGGATGCAATATTAAAAGATTATTGTAAACCACAATAATTAAATGTGTGGCAGTGCACGCATTTAATGCAGCACTTGGGAGGCAGAGGCAGGTAGAGAGAGCTCTGTGAGTTCACTGCCAGCCTGGTCTTCATATAAAGTTTCCGGTCAACCAGGGCTACACAATGAGACCCTGTTTCAAAAAATAAAAATAAAAAAATGTGTGTCTGTGTACATGAACCAACCAAGGCCCATGTATGGAGGCTAGAGGGGAACTATCAGAGGTCAACTCTCTCACCTTTATGTGGGTTCCAAGAATTGAACTCAGGACATTGGACTTGCATGGCGAGAACATCCATCCACCAAGCCACCTCACTGCCCCTCTATATAACATTTAACTCACTAGACTGGAAATCTCAGGCAGCTTTCCAGGACTGACAGCCTGCAATTCTTGTCCCTCTCAAGGCCAAAGAGCGTGCTGTATGTATTAAAAGCCTGAGGGGCATGCCCCGACAAAAAGAACTGACCTTTTAAGGTCATAGTTTTGCCCAAGAGTGCATCTCAGTAGGTGCTTGTCTAGCATTCGGGAGGCCCTGGATCCAATCTCTAGTATAAAGAGAGACAGGGAAAGGGAGAGAGAAAGGGAAGGAAAGAAGGGAGAAAGGAAGAGAGGGAGGGTAGCAGGGAGGGAGGAGAGGGAGAAGAAAAAGAAAGGAAACAAAGGAATGGAAAAGAATAGAAGGAGGGGAGAAAAAGAGCATAGGTTATTGCTCAGTGGTAGTGGCGAATCACACTCTGCACACACACACACACACACACACACACACACACACACACACCTCCACTCTTAAGCCAACACGGGCCCCTCTCTCCTTCAGGGTAGCTTACTCTCAGTGTGCACAAAGACCTGGAAAGGGGGGAAGAAGAAGAGAGGGAGGGAGAGAGAGGGAGCTGGAAGAGACAGAGATTTACCCCTTACTCGGTCGTGCAGCCTTGGGCAAGTGACCGCACACTCCTTATCTGTAAGCACTAGCATCTTTCCCATAAGATGGAGACATGGCTCAGAGGTTAAGAGCACAACTGCTCACCCAGAGGCCCTGAGTTCAATTCCCAGCAACCACATGATGGCTCACAACCATCTGTAATGAGATCTGTGCCCTTCTCTGACCTGCAAGCACACATGCAAGCAGAGAACTGTACACATAAAAAATAAGATCTTAAAAATAAGAGAAATGAAGGTAATGCCCAAGGGTCAGGACATTTGTGCTCCCTCTCCCGTGCTCAAGTCTGTGTGGTAACCCACAGCACCTGGACATTTGGTGCAGCTGACTAAATGCCAGTATTTACTGCACCTGCCTCTTGGAGAGAGACCCAGTGTCCAGTCTCCACCAAGAGGCCACCTGGCCTCCACTCCGAGGTCAAATGAGGAGGGGAGCATCTGGGGAGGGGAAAGCTAGAGAGATGGGCAAGATACTCACCACCTCAATGCCTGGCGACCCTCCTGCAGCTCATCCACCAATGGTCTTTCCAGTCCCTCAAAGAGAAGGCCACATCCAGAATGAACTGTCTATCCCGATGTCTGCACACGGTGACCCTGGTCCCACCTCTGCGCGTGACTGGTGTCTACCTGGCCCTGGCTCTAGCCTTTCTCCCGGCTTCTTATACCTGCCCTGAGGTGGCAGGCCCTGGCCCCATGCCAGGCCAGTTCCATCTGGAAAGGTGCCAATGATTACCCTACATCAGAAACTCAAATCCCACAAACACACTAACAAGACCTTGTTGATCCCCCAAGTCCCTGGCTCTGTCACCATCAGCAAAAAGAGGGGGTACCAGGTTTTGTGCCCCCAATCTGCTTCCCGATGACTCTTCAATACCACTTGTTACCTGATGCCCGCCGTGGAGGCCAGTCTTCTTGGTCAGTGCTATGCAGTCAACACAACAAAGAGCTGAGTTGCAGGGTCTCCACAGATCACCCCAAGCTGTAGGGAGCCCAGGTCTGAACTCTGCCCTGGCCAACTGCCCCTCCCGGGTGGGATAAGGACTTTACTCATTGGCCTGGGGTCCATTTGATGAGGCCTCTCACATGAAGCCTACACACTGTCTGGCACGTAGTGGGCACCCTGCCCATGGGGTAACTTATTGTGAGAATCGCTATATTTTTTCAATCACAGGACTCCGACTTGGGAGAGGCTTCTAAGTGAGTACCCCACCAGACAAAGAACCCCTGAAAAGTATACTGGGCTGATCAGCTCTCTAAGCCATGATGGTGGTTCAGTCCATTTCCACGTAGCTAGAAGACTGTTCTGATGGCCATCAGGTGACTTGGGCCTCAAGGCCAGGTGACCTGGGGCAACATTCCATCCAGGAAGTGTGACCTGCCTAAGGACTTATATTATAGGAAAAACAGGAAAGAGAAGGGCCCTGTTATCACCTCAAACATGGCTGTTGCAATGGGTATTTGAGCTGTAAACAGCTCAGGGTCACAGGCCTGGCTTCCTCATCTCTTCACCCCAATTCTTTTTTATTTTTATTTTTATTTTTTGAGACAGGCTCTCACTGTGTAGCCCTGGCTTGCTTGGAACTCACTCTGTAGACCAGGCTGGCCTCGAACTCACAGAGATCCTCCTGCCTCTGCCTCCCCGGTGCTGGGATTAGAGATGTGCCAGCACCCAGCTCACCCACTGCCTTTTGCAGTCCCCTTTCCTTCCACACTCAGCCCCTGACCACCAAGCACTCTGACCAGTGAGGTTCACCTGACTGTCCAGTTTGGTGTCCCCATGTCTGGAAGGTTCAGCATGTGATCTGACAGGAACACCCCTTGCCAGATTACAGCCCCCTAAGAGATGCCACCATTGGATTCCTTGCAGCCTCCTTCTTCACCTTTCTCCTCCACCAGACTTTGTACAGCCCCCTGGAAGGACTTTTGCTATGCATGGTGCTGAAAACTGGTCCCAGGGCCTTACACCAGGCAAGTGCCCTATAATTGAACTATGTTTCCACTCTTTCTTTTTGCTTCTTTGGGACAGGGTTTCTCTGTGTAGCTTTGGAGAACTGTCCTGGCGCTCACTCTGTAGATGAGGCTGGCCTCAGACTCACAGAGATCCACCTGCCTCTGCCTCTCCAGTGCTGGGATTAAAGGCTTGTGCCACCACCACCTGGCTAATCTTTAATTTTTTAAGAGAGGTTTTGCTATGTAGCCAAGGCTGACCTAGAATTCACTGTAATGCCTGGAGATTTGTTTGTGTAGGAGGTAGTATTTATTTTATTTCATATGTATGAGTGAGTGTTTTGCCTGCTTGTCTGTACTTTCACCATATTTGTGCCTGAAGCCCAGTAGGTCAGAAGAGAGTATCAGATCCCTTGGAACTAGAGTTACAGATAGCTGTGAGTCACAAGTGAGTGCAGGGAACTGAACCTGGGTCCTCTGAATGAGCAGCAAGTGTGAGTCATCTCTCCAGCCTCTGTCTCTAAAATTCAGTATGATTTCAGCAACACAGAAGAAAGATGGGGTGCTGGCGGTACACGCCTTTAGTCTCAACACTGGGGAGGCAGAGGCAGGTGGATCTCTGTGAGTTCGAGGCCAGCTTGGTCTACAGAGTGAGCATTGGGTTACCTGGCTATTCTCTGAGCCTCAGGTGGGCATGGAGCCAGCCAGTCTAACGCACTCCCGAAGGCATACAGGGAAGTCAGTTTCCAGATTCTGTGGTCACTTTTGCATCCAGACTTTATCCTCCTCAAGTTGTCCCCTCCCCCCACCCTCAGCTCATGTCTCCTGCTGGTCAGCCCACCTTCCAGTCCTTTACCTCTTCCTCTGCCTTCTTAAGGGAGGGTGGGACCTGCTCTTTTCCAAAACCAGCCTCTTGCTCTGCTTCCTTGCTGGCCCCATGGTCCCTCGTGAGCATATCACTTCTCCCCACTCTTTGCCTGCATCTCTACTCTCAGTTCCCTTCCTAGAGCTCTGTCCTCACACCTCTGCACTGTGAGGCCCCAGGCCAGCAGCTTCCTCTCAACCTGCTCTACTCCTCGGCTTTCACAGGGACCACTCCATCCTCTTTCCATTCTTCTGACCATTTTCTTGAACCAGAAATACTTAACTTTCTGCTTCTGGACCAGTTTTCCTCTCCCCTGTGGTAATATATTATTTTTGATCTATTAAAGCTTGCCTGAAGATTCAGACAAGCAAAGTCAGCCTCAAGCTACAGAGATCAGGCAGTGGTGACATACACCTTTAATCCCAGCAGCCAGAAGCTAGGAAGTGGTGGTACACACCTTTAATCCTAGGACTCAGGATTAAGAGGTGGATGGATCTCTGTGAGTCGAAGGCCACCATGATCTACACAAGATTGATCCAGTGCTAAAGAGAAACAGCTCACACAAAGATGATCTCAGCACCTGGGATCGCATGCCTTTAATCCCAGCACTAGAGGGGTATAAAAGATAGGAGCAAGGTCTTCAGTAATCAGTGTCAGGCACTCATTCTCCAGCCACACTGAGTTGAGGCAGCAGTTTGAGACTTGGTGAAGAGCTCGTGCGTGGGATCAGCTCTTTCAGCCTGAGCTAGAGGTGAGAGCTTGTGGCTGGCTGCTTTGCTTTTCTGAACTTCAGCCTGAAGCTTGAACCCAATTATCAGTCTCTGGGTCTTTTAAGTCATCGTGTTACACTCCCCAGACCCTCTCCCAGTTTCAAAGTGAATCTTTTTTTCAAATTGAGATAGAGTCTCAGAGAGAGAGAGAGAGACAGAGACAGAGAGGGAGAGAGAGAGAGAGTCATTGTAGACTAGGCTGGCCTCAAACACATTATATAGCTCAGGATGAACTTGAACTTCTGGTCCTCTTGTCCTCACCTTCTGAGTTCTGGGATTACAGAGGCATGTACCACCATGTTTGGTTTTATGTGATGCTGGGGATGGACCCCCAAGCCTTGTGCAAGCTAGGCTGAATGCTACCAACTGAGCAACATCTCCAGACCTCAAGGTGAATATTTTCTTGAATACTCCAGACCTTGTTGCTGGCCTGGCTACACACGCATGCCTGTGCTACTTCTTTTCAGGTCTCTATTTGGACATCTCCACAGATGCCTCAAATACACTGTGCCCGATGAACTGAGGCTCTCTTACCCTTTGACACCTCCGGGCCTGTCCTTCCTGCTAAAGCAAATGGTGCGGTCATTTGTTCTCCAAAGCAGGTGATGGGGAGATGAACTTGACATCACTTCTCTGAGTCCACTTCCAGCCAGGAGTGGATGGTTCTTCCAAGCAGAACACGCTCTTCCTCTACGGCTTTTAGATGTATCTGAGCTCCCTTAGCTCCCAAGAGTCCTGTTGGTCAACTCCTAAGCTTGGCCAGCATCTGTTCTTGTCAGCATGGGGATCTACTTCCAGACATAAATTATTTGGTGTGACTCCCTGCTTGCACTTTCCAATGTTTGTCACTGCATCAGAGGTAATCCCCTGCCTGTGTCCCGCCTGGTTCCTGCTTTCCACTCTGTCTTTTCCTTAGCTATCTCCCAGGGGGCTCCAGCCATTCTAACCACCCCTGCCTGAACATCTGTCACACTTTCTCCTCCTCCAGGGACTTTGCTCTTGTTCTTCAGTCTGCCCCAGATTCGCTTCCCAAGCTCTTTGGCTAACTTGGCATTTGGGCCACCTCCTCAGAGAGGTTCCCTGATAACCCCATCCGAGTGGGTTTCCCTATCACCCTTCAGCAGGTAGCATATTGCTTTCATGATTTGTAGAAAGAAAACAACCTTCACTTTGGTTAGAAAAAGATAACTCCTCTTGGAAGCCTTCCAGGAGTTAGCTACCATTCAGTTTCCATCCCATTGGTCAATAGGAGAACTTTGGGGTCATCATCCCCTTCATTTCTTACAACCTGCCATTAAAGCCATCACTGAATGCTTCCTCCTTGATCAGCAATTCTTACAGCACCCACTGGGTACTTAAGCCGGCCAATTAGAAGCAGGCCCTGGAATAGGGCAGCCTATGGGTCAAACAACTCCAGCCAGGCCATTTCCAAGGAGTATGAGCTTGGCTGTGCATCCCAGTTACCCCCGGCTGGGGTGGGGGTGGGGACCCTGGTGCCTTCAGAGCTTTGGGCAGGGTGATGAGAGAATTCACTTCTGCTCTACTCCTCATGGGTGGAGCATCTGTACACTCATCATCTGACAGGTCTGGTGGCCAGTGGGGACTAGTGTTGCTGCCTGGACTGCCTTCACACGGCCACCCCAGGAGACCTAAACTTCCCTTCCACGTGGCACTTGGATTCCAAGGACGAATGAAGAGCAATAGGGAGAGCACAGGAGAGAGAGAGGCCATGCGAGAGGTCGACTTACTGTGGTTCAGGCACTGTGAGCTGTAGGAGAGGGTAAAGGTGAGGAAGGTCTATAAGGGACCTGGAGAAACTACTTGGTTAACGGGAGCAGCCCAGAAGGAAAACAAACAAACACACCCACTAGGGCTGGGGGCTTGGTCTGAGGGGTGACCAAGTAGGATTCAGGGCTAGCCTCCATCCGGCTCAGAGCCCCACCTCCCCCAAGCATCCGATGGTCTGCCATCCATGAGGCACAGCCTGAAGTTTAATCACAAAGTCCTTGAAACTGGGTGGGGGAGACAGGACTATGCTTGGGATCGCAGGAGACCAGGTGTGCAGAATCCAGTATGCACGCGGGGTCACTATGACAGCAGACTGGCAGCAGAGGCAGAAGTCCAGTCGCTCTGAAGGCATGTGGCTCCATCCTGGTTCCTCCTTTGACCAAGAGCGGACCGCGTGCCCGGTCGTGCTTCAGTTTACTGTTCTATGGGATGGGGTCGTTTGTCATGCCCAGCTAAAGGGGGCGGAGCTCGCGCAGGCTCAGCACCCGCAAGGGGCGCGCGGCTCGGTGCTGGGTGTGCATGGATGCTGGCTCCGGCCCTTTGAGGTCCGCGGGGCCTCAGCCGGGAAATATCCTCTCCTGCGTTCCACGAGGCCCCCAAGGCGACGCCAGGCTTCCAGGCTCCACGGCCGGGTGCGACCCCCCAGCTCGCAGGGGAGCGACCAGTGGCCGGGAGCTGCCGGAGCGAGCCGAGGCCGCGGCTGCCCGGGCCTGCCTGACCCTCGAGGGGGTCGCTGTTGCCTCGCGGATCCCTCCCTCGCTCCCCGCCCGCGTCCCTCCCCGCTGCTCCCGCCGCGTCCGCCTTTTGTTCGCCGAGCCGCGCGCCCCCGAGCCGAGGCGGCGGGGCGGGGAACTGGCGGGGCTGCGTGGGGGGCGGGCCGCGCCGGGCGGAGCCGGGGCCCTGGCCTCAGCCGGACTGGGAGTCCGAGGCGGCGATCGCCGAGCAGGCGGCAGCCGGGGTTCGGGCTCGCTCCGAGGGCGCGGCGAGGCGGAGGGGGCGGGCACCGGGCGGAGCCGGAGCCGGAGTCGTGGTGCCTGGAGGAGATCGGGCCGCGCGCTGCGAGCACCAAGTGGAGGAGAGGCCGCGCGGCGCGGGCCAGGGCCCGAGCGCAGTCCCCGGTCGCAGGAGGCCGGAGCGCAGTCGCGGCCTGAGCGGCAGGAGCGCACCCGGGACCCGCCGCAGGGACCCCCAGACCGGCCGCTCCCGGGCCATGCGCGCCGCTCGCTGAGAGTCGGGGAGGCCGCGATGGAGGCGCCAGCGGGAGAATCATCGACGCGGGGCTCCTGCCCCCCGCCTGCACCCGCGCCCCCCACGGAAAGGAAGAAGAGCCACCGCGCGCCGTCGCCAGCCCGACCCAAGGACGTGGCCGGCTGGTCTCTGGCCAAGGGCCGCCGCGGCACAGGCCCGGGCGCCGCTGCAGCCTGTGGCGCTGCGTCCTCAGCGAGGCCGGACAAGAAGGGGCGCACGGTGACGCCCGGCGCCCGGGGCGCAGGGCCGCGGGTGGCCGGTGTGCGCACGGGGGTCCGAGCTAAGGGCCGTCCTCGTCCGGGTACCGGGCCGCGCCCGCCGCCGCCGCCGCCCAGCCTCACCGACAGCAGCTCCGAGGTGTCGGACTGCGCGTCGGAGGAGGCGCGCCTGCTGGGCCTGGAGCTGGCGCTGAGCAGCGACGCCGAGTCTGCGGCGGGTGGCCCGGCGGGGACCCGCCCCGGGCAGCCGCCCCAGCCCGCACCGTCGGGGCAGCAGCCTCCGCGGCCTCCCGCCTCCCCAGATGAGCCGTCGGTGGCCGCATCGTCGGTGGGCAGCAGTCGCCTGCCACTCAGCGCCTCGCTCGCCTTCTCCGACCTCACCGAGGAGATGCTGGACTGCGGGCCGGGCAGCTTGGTGCGGGAGCTGGAAGAGCTGCGCTCGGAGAACGACTATCTCAAGGTGGGGATCTAGGGGTGAGGGGAGTGGCAGGGTTTGTTGGTGGGGGGGACCTGCAATCCTGTCTGAAGAGACCCAGGGCTTGTGGCCCTGAGGCCCTGAGGCCACAGGCGGCCACTTTAACGCTAAGCAAGCAGGGAGAGAATGCCCTACCTTCTGTGGGGGAATCTTGGATAAGACACCTACTAAAGGACCCCGATGTGCACCTCCATCCCGGTAAAACTGCTTTGGAGGATGCTCCGTGCGTGGGGGTGGGGTAGTCAGCCACGCTGACCTCTGCTTTAAGCTGCCCAGGACCCCGCCCCCAGGTCAGCAGGCCTTCCTTGGCTCTCCTTTCTGGGGCCAACATTGGTGTGTTTGGCTGCCAGGGAACTCGTGGCCATCCGCTGGCAAGGGGAGCAGAACAGCATCCCAAGTCCTCACCCAGGGCTTCCCCGGCAGGCTTGTCCTCGCCTGCCTTTTTGGGGCGGGACCAGTTTGAAAGCATGACATCTGGGAACATCCCCTTGGCTGGAGTCCACTTCCGCCCAGTCTAACGGTCCCACAGCCTGAGAGGATGATGTCGTGGGAGAACTGGTTCAGAGGCCACTTCCTCAATCCCAGGATATTGTCCTCTGCTCCCCCCCCCCCAGAGAGGCTTGGGTAGACATGGCTGGTGCTCCCTGTGGGAGGAGGGGAGCTGCCCTCTTTGATAGGGGTATTCCCTTTGTACATGTGGAGAGCTGCCTGGGAAGAACAACCGGCTGTGCCTGGGCATCGAAGTGCAGCCCATGCTCTAGCTGCCTGTCCCGTGAGAGAGTGGCAGTTATGGGGACAGCTCTGCCCTGGCTTCTTGACCTTGGTGTGGGAAGCTGGAATCTTCAGGGGTTGTATTGCCACTGATGGAAGAGGGTACAGTGTCGCCTGGCCAGCAGCCATGGGGTTCACAGCATTCTAATGACATGTCTGCCCTGCAGCACTTAACCTCCTTCTGCTTCTACTAGCTAGGACGGCTTTTTCTTCTGTAGCCTGCTGGGGTGTTGCTCTTGCTTTCCTCTGGGTCCTCTGTCCCGCATGTTCTCAGTAAACTCTTGTACACTAGAGAACACAGGTCCATTTGAGAAATGGTCATCTGCTACCTGTTTCTAGCCTGAACCTTCCCCAGGCCAGGCTTCCATTCTAGTCCATGGGAGTATGAGTCTTCACAAGGGCTTCACTCAGTGTTGACAGTGGGGGTTCAGTCTGTGGAGTCCTCTGAAGTCAGTAAGAAGAGTGGGAGGGTGCTGGCAGCTTCCTGCATTCCCAATCTAAGCTACTCCAGACCTGGACCTGAGTGCCTCACTCCAGTGAGTGAGGACAACTCATAGATCTTTTGGTTTGGTTTCTTCCCGCCCTCATCCTGGACCCCTTTCTGTGCTCCCAGGAAGTGGTCAGACAGAGCCCTGAGCTCCATCTGAAACCACCCACGAGTATGCAGATGGGAAAGTGGTCCCAGAGGGCTGCAGGTTGAGCCCAGGTTCTCCTAGTGACCAGGACCCAGTTTCCGGTCAGGTTGAGCCTTAGTTTCTGCCATCCATTCAGTAGCTGAGTCTTTGTGCACAAGCTCTGGACCACGGCTGGATCTGTAGCTTCTTGACTGTGATCTTGGGCACTTTACTTCCCATGTTTGGACCTGAGTTTTCTCATCTTAAAAATTAAACAATTAACATAGATTGTCCTTAAAGAGTAAATGTGCCCATAGCTAGAATACTTGGCACAGTAGATTCTATCCTGATATCACTTGCTGATCTCAGGGTAGGGAACATGTTTCCTTGTGCTTCTGCTACATTCTTTTGTGGATTCTGTGGGAGCAGGCTGGGGTCTTCCTCCTGTCTGTCCGTCTGTCCGTCCATCCGTCCACCCATCCAATCACTCACTGTTTGCTTAGAGCTTAACAGCATAGTGCAGCTTTGGGGTATAACTGTGAACCTGGGAGAGGCTCTGGAGAGACCAGAATTAAACAGTAGTTGCCACAAAACACAATGTGGCTGGTGATAAGGGTGAGAAGGCTAACTGTGCCAAGAGCACATGGAGTTGAGGCTGGGGACTCAGGGAGGCCAGGACCAGAGAGATGATGGAGCCAGCAGAATAAGGGGCTGTGGTAGAACATTCTAGGCTAAAGAAGGTTGGGAAAGTGTTGGGTGAGGAAAGGAGCCATGCTCTTGCTGTGTGCATTTGAGTAGTACCCACACTGCTCCAAGCAGCCAGGGCAGAGAGTAAGAGAGCATCGGTTTCCTGCCTCTCTGGGATGCTTTACATCTGAGGTGCAGAAACTGGGTAAGAAGGAAAATGACTCCAAATCCCCAGTGTATCCCCTGCAGACTGACTGAATGAGTCAAGGGAATGCCCTGCATTCCGGGTGGCTCTCTTCAGGTTCACCTTCCAGTTTGTGTGTGTGCCAGGGGTGTCGGGGCCCCACCCCTGTCAACCAGGAGGGACCCTTGTGTGACTGCACATCCCCATCTCTCAAAGCCTTGCTCTGGGGCCCAAGTGAGGGAGGTACAGCCTCTGCCAGTGATAAGACAGAAAGTGCTTCTCTGGGGAAGATGGTGAACTTAGGTATCTCTGGAACTATTCGGAGAGAGCCTGGATACAGGCATTGGGTTTTGGGGAGCATTGTGTAAGTGATCCCAAATGTTGGATGTGATCACTGGGGCGATAGGCGTGGTGGCTACAGGGGAGCTGCAGAAGGGACCTGGGGTCCCTTCTGGTCTAGGTGCCTGAGGGTTATCCACTGGGGTTTTCAGAATTACAGCTTTAGCCAGGTTAACTGTGTTTGACTTTCAAAGCCCCAGTGGCCTAAGGTCCCTTTGACCACTAACTGTTACCCATGTACTATGCAGTATCTCGGTACTGGAGCTCAAAGAGCTGGCTCTGAGACCTGATTCTACCATTTACTTGTGGCCATGGCCAAGTGGCCGGGCTCTCTGAGCTGCTTGTATGTTTTCATCTGTCTAATGGAGATGGTGGGGTATGCCTGAACAGTCTCCAAGGATTGTTTTCAGCAATCAGGGAGAAGTGAACAGTCAGGAAAACATCTCGTGAGTGAAGTCCTCTTGTCTCGTGCAGAATTGTTAGGATTCTGAGCCAGTGACCAGACAGGATGTCTGTGTTCATCCTTGGAGGAACTGGGAGGAGCCAGGAGGGTAGATTTCCTTAGCCCTTGAGTGTTAATACATCAGGTGCTGCTCCTGGGGGGTAGGAAGTCATGAACACATTTCCTACTTCACAGGTAGGTAGTGGGGAGCCAAGGTACCCTACTCGGGTTCCAGCTGTGAGTGATAGATGCCACTCACAAGGTCCCAGAGAAACCCCTCACTGGCTGTCGATTGCCATTATACAGATGGGTAAGTGGAGGCTCCAGGATTCTGCTGATCTGTCTTGGTCCTGTTCCTTTGGCCATGTGGCCAGTGCGTTTGAGCTTTTGGTTGCCACTGGCATGTCTGGTCATGGGTGGAGATTGGTGAGAAGAACCCTGTGATCCAGGCGCCAAGCTAAGATTTGTAGGGAGCAAATATGAGTAAGCCCAATTGGGGGGATGTTTGCCTAGCATACACAAAGCCCTGGGTTCCATCCCTAGAGCCACATAAACCAGACATGCTGGCACATGCCTGGAAACCTGGCATTCAGGAGGCAGAGGCAGAAGGGCCAGAAGTTGAAGGCTGTCCTCAGTTCAAGGCCAGCTTAGGCTAAGACTGTGTCACAATAACAAAACCCCAAAAGGCTGATATCCAAGCCTGCAGGTGGAGGTGTGTCTCAAGGGGGACCACTTCTGTAAAATACGGGTTCAGTGTGTCATGGACCTCTTGATTGTGAGTGAGGGTGCATTTGTGTCCATTGCTCAATAAATGCGCTGACCAAGCCATGGCCCTTTCTCTCTCCTCCCTCCCTCTGATGTCATCCCAGAGTCTTCTGAGTGGTAGGCCTCAGGCAGTTCTACAAAATTCACCGGAGGTATAGGAGGGACCCAGTCTGTCACCATGTCAGAAGGACTCCCTGGTCCTTGCCTTTAGTTGCAGCTTCTGGCTGGGGGAGCAGTTCCAGCAGAGAGAAAATGAGGTGGAAAGTGTGAGTAGCAGCTGCTGTAACTGCTTTTCAAGGGACTGGATGGACACACATAAACACATGTACGTTTATTTAGAGCTCAAGCCCAGAAACCTGCAGCTAGCTATTCATACTTGGCTGATGTATACATTTGGTGACTCATTTATGCTTTATGCTACCAGAGGCCAGCCTCCAGGCAGTCACTAGGGATCCACATGGCAAACAGTATACAGACCGGTATAGACTGACCCTTCATACAACATGCTACTAAACACAACGCATCCCAGCAGGAGACTCTGGGCACACCCTCCTATACACAGCCTAGAGACACCCTCAGACACATAGGAAGTCCGCATACATGTGAAGGTGTGCACACAAATACACACAGACATTATCTGCACACATACCAGCGTTGTGGGAACCCAGTGACATCCTTGCCAGGTGACACAGACACTGGCACACCCAGGTACCCCAGCTACCCTTCCCTCAGAGAGCCACCGACCTTTGCACAGGTGCCCGAGGCTCAAAAGATTTCAGGTGGATACCCACAAAGAGGTTCACACATGTAAGCTGGACACAAGGGTAGACCATGCAAATGTCAGACATGGTATTTGCCTAAGCAGGGCACCCGGACACGCATGCTCATACACGCACATCCACTTATACTGACTGTGACATTTCACCTACACACATAAACACAGGAAGTCTTGGTCAGTGTCCCTCTGGAGCTGCTGTGTATGGCCTTACTATTTCCAGCTGCTCGGGAGGCTTCCTCTTAGCAGGCTGCTGGGAACCGGTGGTCGAGTCAGGACTGGGGTGTGTAACCACCTGGATCTGGGGTCCTAGGAGCCTAGCTGGGGAAGGCTGGCAGTGGGGGAGGTCTGCGGGTCTCCATGACTGAGAAGCTAGGCCAGAGCTCCCCAGGCGTCTGAGCCAGGCCC